AGGAGGCCGAATGCTGGGCTGGGGCTCTAGGCAGCAAAGGCAAAGGGCACAGTGAGGCCTGGCTGGAGGGAAAGGAACCCGCCTGGAAAGGCCCAGAATCCCAGAAACCATGGGGTGGTGGCTGGGAGAGGAGGAAGACCTGGTGGGTGAAGGCGGGGCAGCAGGAGGAGAGGAGAGGGAAGAGGCCACAGACAAGGGGAGACCTGGTGAGGTCAAAAGGACAAGGGACGGGCGGCAGGGAGGGTGAGTCATCCTGGCACCACGCAGCTTTAAAGCTGCCCAGTGAGCTTCAAGGGGCTGCTCCTTGTAGACTCCCTGCTATTACCTCTGGGTGTTTGGAGTATATATGCCCCACCTTGTCCCTCCCACCTTTCAACTTCTCAAAAGAGAAACCCTCAGCACTGGGAACTACCCCCTCCAAGACTAAATCTCTGCATGGAGGAGTCGCCGCTCAAACCTGTTTCCCTGGGAGCAGGGACCGCCCAACTTAGAGCCTCCTGGAAACTGGATGGTCAAGATCATGAGTTATTTGGACTTAGGCGTGCTGGCCAGGGCGGTGACCTGACACCTATGCGCATTGCCTCATGGGATCCTCACAACACCAACAGGGGGATGCTTCTTATTTGACAGAAAATTGAGGAAGTTTTTTTTTTTACTCAGAATACATTTGAAGCCTGGTTCCTCTGTAAGCAAACCTTATTGGCCAACCCCTGTTTAGGGACTGGGTGTGGGGTGGTGAAAGAGGGAAAGAGTCCCAGATCTCATGGATCCCAGGATATTTTAGAGAGGGAAAGATACAATCCAAGAAACAGACAAACAGCCACGTTCAGAAAATGATCAAGAATTTACAAAGGTAAAAGAGTGGCAAGTCGGGTGGGATGTTACTCTGGTGGGAAAGTCAGGAGATGCTCCAGAAGAGGCCTTGCGGACACCCAGGGGAAAGTCTTGGTAGGAAAGTCGGGGGTTGGGAGCCGGGAACCAAAGCTTCATGGGCCCTGGAAAAGAGGGATGGGAAGATGCTTGAAGGACAGAGGAGGTGAGAGTGAAGGCTGTTCCACAGGCATCCAGGCTGCAGAGGAGGGGCCTGGGGTGGGCTGAAGCTGGGCAGGCACTGGAGGAGTAGAGAGGAGAGGATGGAATACATGGAGGGCGTGAGGGCAAAGAGAGCAAGATGTGGAGCCTGAGCTAGGGAGGCCAGGGAGAGAGCAGAAATGTAGAGGTAGGTTTTGACTCTAAAACCCAAGCACTTTACCATTGACAGGGACTTTGTCTTTTTTTTTTTTTTTTTTTTTTTTTTTTTTTGAGATGGAGTTTCACTCTTGTTTCCCAGGCTGGAGTGCAATGGCACAATCTCGGCTCACCGCAACCTCTCCTCCTGGGTTCAAGCAATTCTCTTGCCTCAGCTTCCCGAGTAGCTGGGACTACAGGTGTGCGCCACCATGCCCAGCTAATTTTCATATTTTTAGTAGAGACGGGGTTTCACCATGTTGACCAGGATGGTCTCAATCTCTTGACCTCGTGATCCACCTGCCTCGGTCTCCCAAAGTGCTGGGATTATAGGCGTGAAACACCGCACCCGGCCGCCTTTGTCTTTTTCTTCTTTGTCCCTCATTGATCAGGACAGTGGTGACTACATAGTAGGTATTCATTCACTTTATTAATTTAGTCAATGAATACTCATTGAGAGCCTACTATGTGCCTGGCTCTGTCATAGGCACCAGGGACAATGTCCTTGGCCTCTTGGACTTACATTAAAAGTGGAAGGAGAGAAATAAATACGTGTATGTGAGCAGGAGGGAAAAGAGAATGGAGGGACTGTTTCAGATGTGGAGGTAGTTATAGCCTCTCTGATAAGGTGACATATGAGCCCAGATTTCAAAGAAATGAGCTGGTGAGTCTTAAATGGGAGTATCTCGAGGAAGAACATTGCAGGCAGAGAAGCAGCAAATACAAAGGCCCCAAGATGTAAGAGTGTTTGTTGACTGACCAACAGATCCAGTGCTTGTTGACTAAATGATCAGGAATTGTGTCCCTACCATTACCCTTGAAACTCTCTGAGGAACATGCCTGGCTCTTTTTCATCAGACAAGAGTGGTCAGAGGGTTGGGAGGAGCCACTTCTTCCCTTTCTTTACGTCATTCCTCTTTCCCCATCCCTGGCCAGGCCTAGAAGTAGGGGTCAGGGAGGGTACTGAGTCTGACACACTCTGCAGAAAGGGCAGAGAAAGTCCAAGAATAGGCAGGCTCTGTGCTGCTCCACAGCCCACCACTCATGCCCATTCCGTTTCTGTTTTTAACATCTGGGGGTCCACCCAGTCATCCAGCCCCTACCTCTGCCCCTGCCATGACCCCCTCCCAAACACTAAAACTACCTACTGCTCTGGGTATTATTCTCCTGGTGTGTTATTTGTCTTTTAAGGGAGAACTTCTTCACCCTCGGAAGTTTCAATGAAAAATAAACTCAGAAAAGGCACATTAAATGGGTAAAAGGTATATACATTTATTTAACATGTATACCCAAGGAGAATTGCAGAGTGATGCCCACCCCTCAGCAGGGCTCAGAAGCTTCTATACTATCCTGGTAGAACATGTGATGGGAGAGGGGAGAAGAGGGATTCTGTAGAGGAGCTGAATGGATCAGGGAACAGAAATTAACTTGCCAGGTGTGGTTACATTCTTGGTCCTACAGGAAAGAGAAGAAAAAACAGTTCTTCCTTTTGGTGGGTCCAGATATTAGACAGATAAAGGAACTTCAATTTCATCCTGTGTTTTGGGAGAGATAGCGGGTGGGGGAGGTCAGAGAGACCCTGAGGCTTCTTCAGTTGGGTATGTCAAAGCGCTGTGCTTTGGGACTTCTGATCCCAATACCTCTCTGGCTAACTCACCAGGGCTTGGGAGGACACTAAGGGAGGGCTGCGGATGCTGCTACTCCCCGCGCCACCCCAACCCCCTCAGACAGGGAGGTACCTGGGAGACTCCAGGTCTTAGAGTCTCAGCTCAGATTCCAGCCAGATTCTGGCCATGTCCCCAGTCCTCAAGTAAGCATAAGATGATCAGAACTGGAGAGTTACTTCCTCCTTATTATTCTAAGTCATTTCTGCTTCTCCAACTATCTTGCTGACAAGACATGTTGCTCTAAATTCCACTGATTCAAGACTTTTCTGTTCTTACTAACAAAGCATAACAGGCTGTGAGAAACATGCCTGACCACACACGAAATTGGAGAAGGCATGCAGTGGGTACAGATGACTCCACCTGACTGTTCCTTCTGATGTTAATTCCAGGCACATCCCTCTTGGCCAGGTAAGATGCCATGATCCAGAAGGTCTCTCCCACAGGGCATTCTTAGGGCTCAGTGAAAGGACCCTCACCTCAACACAGCAGGACTTCCTTTCCCATGTGGGCCCTTTTTCCAGAAACCGGAGCTGTGGAGGGTCTAGCTTCTGGGACCCTTGACTGGGGAGAAAGCAGGTGGGGGCCATGGAAGGAAGGCCCCAGAGCAGAGGGGCACCAAGCTGGCTGAGCGTGGCCAGCTGCCCTTTGCCTCAGCTCAGTGGTTCTCAAAGCCTGCCCCCCGGGCCAGCAGTACCAACATCACCTGAGGCCTACTCAGCCAGAAACTCTGCAGTGGGGCCTGGCCATCTGCTTGAACAAATCCTCCAGGTGACTCTGGTGCAAGAACTCAGACCTGGACTAGGACTGCTGGGTAAATGGAGTCCCAGCTCTCTAGTGGACTCAATGTGGGTGGCCTGGGTCAAGCCCTCCTGTGCCTGGGCCATTTCTGTGTCTGTCAAGCCTCGGGACTCGGGTAAAGGATTTGACGCGGTGTCTTGGGCAGAGATGGAATCAGATGATTAACTAAGTGGAATATATACAGAGCATTGTAACTACCCCTCTTTCTCTCTTGGCTCTAAGGGGGAAGCAGATGAGTGCAGTTGCTTTATCTTTGGGTAAAGTCACCAGGAGCTGCCTATCTGATTGAACCAGACTATTTAATTTATGCCATTTAGTGAGGGGTCTTGCTTTATTACCACCACATCTGAGGAGGGGCAGCGCAGAGGCCTCTCAGTTGGAATTTGCGGCCCTTGGATGCCCTTCCCGCCTCCATCGTTTCTGGGGTAAAGGCTTTTAGGTGATGCCTGTTTAAGAACTCAGATCTGGCAGGGCACAGTGGCTCAGGCCTGTAATCCCAGCACTTTGGAAGGCCGAAGTGGGAGGATCACCTGAGGTCAGGAGTTCGAGACCAGCCTAGCCAACGTGGTGAAACCCCGTCTCTACTAAAAATACAAAAATTAGCCAGGCATGGTGGCACGTGCCTGTAATCCCAGGTACTCGGGAGGCTGAGGAAGGAGAATCGCTTGAACGGGTTTGAACCCGGGAGGCGGAGGGTGCAGTGAGCCAAGATCTCATCATTGCACTCTAGCCTGGACAGCAAGAGGGAGAGAGACTCCGTCTCAAAACAAACAAACAAACAAACAACTCAGATTCCATCGAAGTGGAGAATAACTACATTTGTTTGGCATACACCCTGAGGAGTTCAGGAGGAAAGCAGGGTTTTACATCCACTTCTTAGGGACGCAAGTAGGACTGCCCCAAAAGTTCCACTCCGTTCACGCTTAGCGGGGGCCCCACAGGAGCCCCAACTTTCACATATTTTATTTCCCTTACTAACCGAGGCTCCCAGAAGTTAAACGAGCAGCCCAAGGTCACACCGCAGGGTGACGCCAGCAGAGCCCCGGCGCGTGCCTCCTCCCTTTGGACCCTGCCGCGTCCCCAGAAGCTCGACTTAACCAGCTGTGACAGGAACCGAACCCTCCCGCCCTCTGTCGCTGTCTTCGCCCTCGAGGAATCGCGCCCAGGCGAAGCGGTCCTCCGAGGTTCTGGAGCGCCGGAGTGACTTCCTGATTCTCTCCCCTGGGACCCGGGGGATCCCTCCCCCAGCTTGCCGGGTCCTCCCCGCAGATCCCCCGGGGCTCCTCCCGGCCGCCCCTGCTGACTCAGCGTAATCCGAGCCGCAGAGGGCGGCGGGGCCGGCGGAGCCCGCCGAGGTTAATTGCCGAGCTTTGAACGCCCCCTCCCGCTCCGCCCTCCTCCAGCCGCCGCCCCGCCCCGCCCCCGCGGTGAGGTCCCGGGCGGGCGACGACGGCCACAGCCCAGCAACTGGAGGGAGCGAGGCTGCAGCGCGGCCGCCGGGCGCAGCATGACTGCCATCCGCGTGCAGGTAGCTGGCGCCCGGCGGGGCACGGACCCGGGGTGCTGCCCCGCCGGGGCGAGGGTGCAGGGGGTAGGACTGGGACAGGGGCGTATCCACCACGAGCTCCAGCCTCGGGCCGGGAGTGCAAGCGCCCCGCGTGCCCGCCCCAGTTGCAAACTTGGGAACCGAGGAGGCTGGGCGGGGGGCAACCTGGGGGCGCCTGCCTGGCTGCTGCTCCCGCGGCGCGAACTCCGGCTGCCTCTGCTCGCCGCCCTGCAAGCACGCGAGGCTCCCAGACTTCCATGGGAAAGATTTTTCTGTTTCTCTTTGGGGTCACCAGTGACCTACGGGTCAGTTTACCATAAGGGTCCCCCTTTATGAGAAATTCGGCGCGTCTAGGGTGGAGGGACAGAATCGACTTGCAAAGTGAGGCTTATGTAACAGAAGATACGCTCTCGGGAAGCTAGACCTTTCTGGGGGTGAGGGTTAGGAAGACCGTCTCCCTCCCCAAAGCTGCGTTTGGGGTGCTTGGCTGGGGGTGGACTCGCTGGGGCGCGCACACCTCTGGGAAAGAACGGCTCTGGCGAGGGAAGAATCCCGTGTCTCCGAAGATTTGGCTTCTCCTTAGCGTAGTGCAAGATGTTTATGTTGGCTGAGAACCTACACATTCCTAGCCGTTCCCTCGGGTCTGCTGCTCTCCGAAGGGAAGTCAGTGGGCGGCGGTACCGCTGCCCGGACGGCGAGCTTCCTTTCCGCGCCGGTATTCCCGCCGCTCGTCCGCTGCAGAGTCTATCCGCTGGGCTGTCCCCAGGATGAGAGAGGCCCGTTGACTTCTTGTACCAACGCTCAGCCACAACACTGACCTGGTAGATACTGTTCCGCCTATTTTACAGTTGAGGTAACTGAGACTCAGAAGTAATGTGCCCTCAGTGGCTGGACAAGGAGCAGAATCAAGATTCAAACCCAGGGCTTCCTGGCTCCAAATCCCACTGGTCCCTCCTGCCTTTACCTAACGGGAGAAATCCACCCACAGGCCACCCCCAAACCTCTTCTATAGCCGTGATCCCCACCCCTAGAAAGATCTAGCTTCCCGAGAGAGCGCATCCTCTGTTACAGAAGCCTCACTTTGCAAGTCAATTCTGTCCCTCCTATAGTCTAGTTCCTGGCTATAGAAGAGGTTTGGGGGTGGCCTGTGGGTGGGGTTCCTCCCATTAGGTAAAGGCAGGAGGGGCCAGTGGGCAAAGCAGGGCATGGGGCGCAGGGAATGCCTCCTCTTTGTTCCAGAACAAGTCTGGAATCCCAGCCAGGCAGCCTGCTGGGACAGACCAGGTGCGGTCAGTCCATGTGGAAAGAGAGACTTGGAAACAGGGTGTGGGGGAATGAATGCTAAATTAAGAGGTGCAAAAGTTGCCAGCTGGGAAGAAGAGGAAGCCTGGTAGCAAGGTGAGAGCTCAGCTGGGGAGGCCACAGGCTCCAGGTGAAGGGGGGGGTGCTCCAGCTACTTTGGGGTGATAACTCTTCATCCCCACAACCATGACTTGCCAGAGGGCAAACACAGGTAGGAAGCAAGTTCTGGGTCAGAGGTGGGGCCAGCGGAGGCTAACAGCAGAGGCAGGCCGGCTCATCAGGAGGCTATGAACTTCCAGGATGTGATGATGATGATGGCCTCACCTGGGCTGGGGCAGAGTGGGTGATGAGGGGGAGCAACTATGGAAGACTTGTTGGGGATGTGGGGAATGAGTTGGGAGGAGCCTAGGTTGTCTACTGAGGGGTGCTTTGGTTCAGGGGAACACAGGAGGCCCTGGGTTATAGGAGGAAAAGACCCTGACATTGGACCCAGTAGCCCAGTAGTGTCAAGTGACCAGGTTCTATAGCTCACTAGAAATCATTGAAGGTTACAGATGAAAAAGGAAAACACTTGCATTTCTAGGGAAGTTACCACCCAGAGAGATTTAAGTGATTGCTACCGAAAGTACCCTGCAGGGGTACTCTAGGTCAGGGACAGGACTTGACCTCCCCGCCCGCCTCTTTTCCACTGCCCACCTGTCCAGCGGCCCTCCAGGAGCCATTTCAGGCCCTGCACCACTGAAAGCTGGCAGAGATGCCGGGTAGTTAGGAATGAAGACTCCAATATGTGTTATGACGCTTACTAATATTATTAATAGCTTCAGTGAATTGGGAGCCACCTGTGTGTCATGTATATCTTCATATACATGATCTCATATAATCCTTGGGAGTTTCAGTGGTGGCCGGAGAGTTTAAATGAAGCCCTACTTTGGGGCAGGAGGGGGAAGAAATGTGATTAGGTCAGCTGTCTTCATTTTCTGATCCTGACGTGATGTCTAAGGACCTGGAGATTAAAGTCCAGTCTGCCTAGGAGAGGTGGGGCTGCGAAAGGGACAGGACGTGCCTGTTTTCCAGCCAGCATGCTGTCTAGGGTTAAAAGGTTTCTGGGTCCTGGGACTTGTTCTCTGCATGTAGTGCTCCCCCTTTTGGGGACCATATATTATTCTCTAGGGACCTTGCAACCTTGCCAGGTGCCTTCATGGCTACGACTTTCCTTCAAGTGTCACTGAGAAAACAAGGGCTCAGGAGGTTAGGAAATTGCCCAAGAACAAACACCTCTAATGGTTTGCAGAGCAGACACAGAGCTTTTCAGAGTTTTCTTTGGTTTCTTTCTTACCAGTCGATCCTTGTTTTTTTGGGGGGGGTAGTAAAAGGCAATATGGATTCCTGGACCCCAGTGTCCCAAGCAGATGCAGGGCCCAGTTGAAGTTGAAGTGAGGAAGAGGATGCAAAGCCAGCTTGCTCGGCTTTCCGCCCACCTGGCTTTGGCACTGGAAGCCCCGCCAGGAGCAAGGGAACACAGTCTGAGAACCACGGCCCATACTCTTAGCTGCGTGTTTTGTACTGCACCCAGGCTGCCTTTGTCCCAGCAGCTGGTCCTAGCTCTGGATGGCCTTGAGGAATCCCGCTGCACGCTAGTTTTTTCCTCACCAGCAGTACTGAGCCCCTAGCACAAAGGCCCTATCCTTAGAAGGCCCAGTCAGTATTTATCCGCTGAATGGATTCCACCTCCTGCATCTCACACAGTTGTCTGGGCAGCCATAATAAGCTTCAATACGATTTAGGTGAGTGAGCTCCGGCAAGTCACCTGCCCTCTGCATAGTTTCCTTGTCTATACACCCACCATGGAGCTTCCTACTCTACCAACGTCATAGGTTTAAGAATTAAATAGGATACGACTTAAGGCAGAGGTGCTGAAAGCAAACCTCCTCCTTATTCCTGTATCCCTGGAGTTGAAATCAGCATAGCTCCTGTGTCTAGGGGATACTCTTACTGGGCTCTGACCACGGGAGTGTCCCAGAAACAGGGCTTTGTTTTATTTCTCACAGACAGAAGTGGCCCAGACCTGCCTCAGTTCTTTTAGGAGTCTGAGCACATGGCATAGGACGCACCCTGTGTTCCTCATTGCTCCATTCTCCTGGGTCCAAGTAGTGACCGTCATGCGTGTGTTTCGTGTAACTCCCAAAACAGGGTGTAACCTGGGCAGCTTCTAGACACTGCAAAGCGGGTCATTTAATGTTTGACTGTGTAGGAGACTTGGTTTAAAGGGAGCTTCAGATGGAAGTGACAGTGGTTACAAATGACCTTTGACTTACCTCACACCTCTCCCTTGAACACCCACTGGATGCCCAGGTACTGGGGACCTAACAGTGTCCAAACAGAATGTGGTGTGGGGTGGGGAGGCTGCCCTCCCAGACAGTGTTAGAATGAGACAGAATTAATATGTAACTACAAACTGTCCTCAGAATGGTGAAGAATTCGAACAGGTGCCTGACACAGAATACCAAGAAGGGCCTGACTCTGGATTCAGTGGGCAGGAAAGTGCTCTTTGTGGAAGAGGCTTTAAGCTGAGACATTAAGAATAGAGAAGAGGCGTTGTCCTGGAGGGGTGGCAGGAAGCTGCAGAAAAGCCTCTACAGACTGAAGGGCCCATCATCTGAGAAAAGAAAGTTCTAGACATGAGGAGAGGGGAGTACACTGGGAGCTGAGGTTGGGCGGGGAGGATGGAGTGGATTGTAAGGGGTTTTTGCGCTATGTAAAGAGTTCCTGGCTGGACGCGGTGGCTCACGCCTATAATCTCAGAACTTTGGGAGGGTGAGGCGGGTGGATCATGAGGTCAGGAGTTCGAGGCCAGCCTGACCAACATGGTGAAATCCCATCTCTACTAAAATTAGCCAGATGTGGTTGTGGTGGGCGCCTGTAAGCCTAGCTACTCAGAAGCCACTGCACTCCAGCCAGGGTGACAGAGTAAGAGTCTATCTCCGCCAAAAAAAAAAAAAAAAAAAAAAAAAAAAAAAAGAGGCCCTGAAGCCTTTCTTTTTGCCTTCTGGGTCAGGGCTTGTGTGCAATGCCTGGGTCGTGTTCCTGGACTATGAGTTGAGACACCTCGCCCGACACCTAGCCTGGCTTGCCAGGAGACCAGGGTGAGGGCACCTCCTTCCAGGGCTGAACCAGAGGCGAAGGAGAGCTGTAATGGCCTTCCCACGCCCCGAAGCTTCAGGAGCAGTCAGTGGGGTTGGCAAGCTCTCTCTGGGTAGGGAACGGGCTGCACAAGTCCAAGGTGCAAACGTCACTTTCAGCACCGAAGAAAACAAGGCAGTAACCTAGAGTCCTGGGCTGAATGTGGACAGCTCAGAATCGTCAGGTGGGTGGGGGTTTGGACAAAATCGTGTGTGTTCTGGAGAGATGGAGGGAAACAGGACCGTGTGTCGGTGTGCTAAAGTCCCGGTGCTTGGTACAACCCTCTGCCAGGCCGTATTCTTGTTTTGTGTATAAAGAAAGCGGGCAGGCTGCATACTCAAGGTCACAGGAGGCAGACACAACAGGTTTTCTAAACTCAGAACTGACTCTGATCTGCAGTGGTTGTGGATTTCTGACTCACTCTAAAGATCACGAAAGAAGGAAAGCTCAGGGGACTCTCAGTGCCTGGTGAATACCGGATGGTAAATGCTCACAGGTCTAGAAGGGAGGAAGGGTTCCCCAAAGATGATGGGTCTGCTCCATGCCAGGCTTCACAGGAGACTGGAGCAGAAAATCAGACTGGGGAGCAGGAAGGTGGCTCAGGGGTCTTCCCTGCAGAGGGTGCTGGGGGTGGCAGGGCTGTGGCTGACAGGGTGCCTCCTGTGGTGTTTTCCAGGCCCAGAGGCCATTGGGCCAAAGGCAGCCCTGCCGCTCGTTCTTTGAATCCTTCATCCGGACCCTCATCATCACGTGTGTGGCCCTGGCTGTGGTCCTGTCCTCGGTCTCCAGTTTGTGATGGGCGCTGGCTCCTGGCTGAGGACCGTCTCTTCGGGCTCTGGCACTTCTGCACCACCACCAACCAGAGTGCACCAACCTGCTTCAGAGACCTGGGCCAGGCCCATGTGCCCGGGCTGGCCGTGGGCATGGGCCTGGTGCGCAGCGTGGGCGCCTTGGCTGTGGTGGCCGCCATTTTTGGCCTGGAGCTCCTCATGGTGTCCCAGGTGTGCGAGGACAAACACTCACGGCCCAAGTGGATCATGGGTTCCATCCTCCTCCTGGTCTCTTTCATCCTCTCCTCCGGGGGGCTCCTGGGTTTTGTGATCCTCCTCAGAAACCAAGTCACACTCATCGGCTTCACCCTGATGTTTTGGTGTGAATTCACTGCTTCCTTCCTCTTCTTCCTGAACGCCATCAGTGGCCTGCACATCAACAGTATCACCCATCCCTGGGAACAACCATGGAAATTTTAGGCCTCTTCCAGGGACATCAGGTTCTACAAGAAAGTGTGGTCAAGATGGGACTTTTCCAACATGTGGCCTCTGGTGGGGCTGGAGTGGGACAAGGACCTTGAAACAGCCGCCTCTTTGCCAATAACTTGTGGGTGGTCAGCCAGAAATGGCCTGGGGGTCTCTGCAGCTGGGCTGCGGGGCCAGAGGCCAGGAGGGTGCCTCAGTACCACCAGCTGCACAGGCTTAGCCAGATGTTGATTTTAGAAGAAGGAAAAAACATTTTAAAATGCCTTTCTTGAATTTTCTTCCCTGGACTGGGATAGAGTTGGAAGCAGCAGGATATCTGGTGCCTGAGCTAGCTGCACACCCAAGGATAATTCATGCCTGTCTCACTGATGCGTGCTGGGATGGGGGCTGCAGAATCCCTGGGGCTCTCAGGGTTGTTAAGGATGGCTCTTCCAGCTAAGGGGCCAATCAGTGCCTAGGAGTTTCTTCCACCAGCTTAAAGGTCCTTCACGTGTATGTCCCTGGCTTCATCTTTGATCGTGCCAAAGAGGCAGAGTTCAGGATTCCCTCAGAAGGCCTTGCACACAGTAGGTTTTCAAACCATTTGACTCGGTTTACCTCCCTGCCCTTTGTGGGAACCTTGCAAACTCTGGATAACCCCAGCTTCTAGCAGCTGGCTGTCCCCTCTGGGAGCTCTGCCTATCAGAACTCTACCTTAAGGTGGCTTTCCTGTCTCTTTCAAGAAAGAGTTCTTGAGCAAGTCCTCCCTGGAGGGCCCACCTGACTGCTAATACACAGCCCTCTCCAAGGGACGTGTGCACGTGTCTATCTTCTGTGAGGGTCAGACAGCCTTAGGGCACCATTTTTAATCCCAGAACCCATTTCAAAGAGCACGGATCTAGACCTGCTGGACTCTGCAGCGGGTGAGGGGAACCGCCAGAGTTTGGGTAATGATTAACACCCATCCTGGGGATGCATGGAGGTGAAAGCGGTCAGGAACCAATGGAGATTTCCATCCTTGCCAGCACATCTGTACTTCTGTTCATTAAAGTGCTCCCTTTCTAGTTCTTTTTCTGCCCAGAAGTAGGTGAGGTTATTGCCTGCAGCCCATTTCATTCTACACCTTCCCCCTCCCTCACCTGCTGAATTCCGGCTCCCAGCAATTGCATGGGTTTCTGGTCTCTGCCCTGCTCTTGCCACTGCACGTTCCCTTCCTAGTCTGGGCTGAGTGCCTACACCTACCTCTATCGTGATGTTCTAAAATTCTTATTCTGAGATGCGTGGAGTCATGAAGCAGTCTGCTTTGTAGGATGTAAGGCCATGGACTCTAAGGTTGAACTACCGAGATGCCCAGAGTCCATGGAGATCACCCCAGAGAGGTTTCTGTGAATCGCTCAGTTTTACAGAGTACGGAGCTCATCCACCACACAGTTGCATCTTACCCTGAGAAATGGGAACCTGGAGCAATCTACAAGTTGCAAAGGGGATACGTGACTCCCTTGTCTCTTCATGGGGAGGGGAGGGATGGAGGTGGGGAGTCAGGGCCCAGAGAGGGATGCACTTGTCCAGGGTCACCCAAAGCCAGGAGTAGAGCTGGCCCAGCCACCAGCAAGATACATTTTTCTTGACACTGAGGGGAGTTTCTCTACGTCTCTCAAGAACGCTACCCCCTGGACACGAGTAGGTTTTGTTCTGTAGAAATGTTCAACAGTTGAGTCCTCTTTCACCCTCACATTGGGGGAGTGAGGATTCAAAGGAACCAAGAACAAGAGTAGAGCGTGAGACTGAAGTCCCCAGGAGCTTAGTAGGGCAGCAGACGGCTTCCATCCTTTCCTGCCTGGGAGCAGGGAGAGCACAGACACAGCCTTGGAGCTTGGGCATTTAAAGCCAAACCCCCTGGACTAAACTTCTGCCACCTCTTTGCTTGGGAGCTTGGGCAGGTCACAGGGCTTTGGTGGACCTGTCATCTATGAAATGGGATCATGCCCCATCTCCTGCTGTGTCTGCCTTAGGCTGAGGACATCTGTGTGAAAAAACAGGAAAAATAGGGGTGTGCACCTCAGAGCCTGTGAGGGATAGATAGTAAAAAGGACTGGGGCCCTGGGGCTTCCCTGGCCTCCATGGTGACTTTATCACGTTATTTTAGCTGTTGTCCAGAAGGTTTGGGTGACAGCTACTAACCAGGTGAGTTACAGTAGGGGACACACGGAGCTGCCAAGGGCAATTCCTGTTGGCTGGGCCTTCTAGTCTTGTCCCTGATTGGCTGAGCTGGAGGACCAGGGAGGACCCTCCTCCTGCAGGAAGGGGTTAGGAGCAGGTCAGAGGATACGCCCTCACCTTGCGTCAAGGCAAAAGGATGGACAAATATAGACCAAATCTGGCCCCAGGCACCACTTATTTCACTGTCCCTTTCTGAGACCCCTCAGCTACTCTTCCCAGAAGAACAAACAAACCCGATCTCAGGCCTTGTCCTGCCCCACAGTGCCCCAGGTCCCTTCTGAGGAGTCCAAGGCCTGGGGAGGGGCATCTTCAGCTGAAGGAGGACATAGGGTGACTGCCGGGAAGACAGGCTGTCCTGCAGTAGTGCCCAGCCTTCTCAGGACCCGTCTTGGTCTCTGTCCACGGGTGGCTCTGCTCCAGCCTCTCAGATAATGCTGGTCCTGCAGGTACCCTGGCTCTGCTCCAAGTGGCTGGCCTTGGTGCTGTTGCTGAAGGAGGAGCTTAGAGCCATGGGATGCAGTGTGAACTCATGGAGGTGCCACTGCTGCCATTTCTTCTGAACCTCCAGCTGCACCTGCCCGGGAGACAGGAGACCAGCCATCAGCCCAGGAGGAGAGGACAGTTCTGTACCTGGAGCCCCACTCACTCCCCTGGGGACTCCACACAGGCCCTGCTGCTCCTGCCCAGCTGTCCCGTCCCGTAGCCTGCAGGCCACTCAGATTGACCATTTTCAGCCCCAATGCCCAGTCGTTACTGAGGGTCCCCTCTCTCCTGGGCACGTGCACCTGCAATCTCATTACATCGTGTCCCAAAGAAAAGACTGTGCACCTGAGACAACTGGACACTTATTTCCATGAAGCCACCCAAGCTCAGAACTCATCTGGGACCCAGGGAGTTGCTCTTTGTAAATTTCCTTTTCAATTCCCAGCTGGAGCAGCTGAACCTTTGAGGCTAGGCGTGATATTTGATTTTTGGGAAACATCAAAGGTCATTCCCATTCAAGTGCAGCAAACCAGATAGATGGTTGGTAGTCACAGAAAGGCCTGGCTCGTGTTGACTACATAGCTCTGTATGCCCAGAGCCCAGGGTCCTGACCCAAATGCTCTGTGCGAGGCTTTAGTCCTCACACAGTGAGTGAGTGTGTAGTCTCCCAGGGAGTCCATGCTCATCCGGAGATCCCTAAGGACTGAGCTGCAGACAGTTCCTCTGAGTCACCCACTTTGCATGTGGGAAGACCGAGGCCCAGAGCAGGGCAGTGACGAGATCGCCCATTGAGCAAGCAGCAGGGCAGTCAGGAACCTAGGCTCTGCCCAAGTTTCCTCCTGCATTTGCTGAACAGATAAACATCAGCACCAGGAGTGCTTTTTAAAAAAATGCTTTCTCAGACCCCAGCCCAGACCTACAGAATTTATTTTTGTGGAATGAGAAACTGGGAACAGGGTCCAGCATGGTTTTAACATCCCTCCAGGTGATTCTGTTCCTTCCATTAAGCAAGCTCAGACTCCTAAAAGAACTGGCCGAGCCCCCTGCCACTAGAGCCAGGACTCCCTCCGACCTTTTCCATCCCCCTTCCCACCACCCCTCCAGGTAGCTCCTTCTGACCTGGAATCCAATGGCTAGGAGCTCTCCTGGGTACCTGGGTGACCCAAGACCACTCACCTCCCCGTTGAGGAAGCAGTAGAGGACAGCCACCACCAGTCCCTGCCAGAGGAATAGAGGTAGCAGGGTTATTGCAGGTGCTCAGGCCCTGCCCACCTGGCCTGAGCCAGCTAGCCAGCTGCACCCTCCCCAGGTCTCTTTTTCTCTCTCTTTTTTTTTTCTTTTTTGAGACGGAGTTTCCCTCTCGTTGCCCAGACTGGAGCACAATGAGGCAATCTCGGCTCACCGCAAGCTCTGCCTACGGGGTTCAAGTGATTCTCCTGCCTCAGTCTCCCAAGAGGCTGGGATTACAGGCATGGGCCACAATGCCCAGCTGATTTTGTATTTTTAGTAGAGACGGAGTTTCTCCACGTTGGTCAGGCTGGTCTCGAACTCCCAACCTCAGGTGATCCACCCGCCTCAGCCTCCCAAAGTGCTGGGATTACAGGCGTGAGTCACCGTGCCTGGTCCTCAGGTCTCTTAATCACCAGCTGCAGGTTCACTTCCCCACCTGGCTTGCATCACTGGGGATTGAGCTACCTCTTGTGCGCTGCCCACGGTGTCCCCGGCTGTGTTGGCTCATCCAACATAGACTGTGAACTCCCTGCAGCCAAGGGTGGGATCCGTTTCGAACACATGTGGTGTCAGAGACAGGTCAGCAGGGGCTGCTAACCCGGGCCAGCTGGGTTCAGGCAGCTCACCTCAGAGCAGCAGGGGTGGATGGCTCCTGAAGTGTGGCCACTCTGCTGGGAGGGGTGCCACCCGCCCAGGGTGAGACCCTGGGCCCTGTGTGGTCTTGGTTCAAGATAAGCTAGAAATCTGAAGATGTTTAAATGTGGGTAACTAATTCAAATTGAAAAACAAATGTGTAGTCAGAACAAACTACAGGTCCCAGCCAGCCAGCGGTGAGCAGGGTTGGACCTCCCTGCTTAATGGACAGGTGGGTGCACCTCCATGCTCAGGGTTTTATGTTCCCTGGTGTGGCAAGGTCTGTGCCTGTAAGACCCTCCATCCCTGGTATTTGGAGCTCCTGATTCCCTGATGGTGCCCCCAGGATCCTGGCGTGGAGCTCTGCCAGGGGAGGGACTCCAGGCTGACTCAACTGCTTGGAGCCTAAGAGGCCTACAGATCAGCAGGGAGCAATGTCTCTGCAGTGCATTCGCCCTGCTCATCTCCTTCCTCAGGGACCCGCCTCAGGCCACCTATCTCTCCCTGCCCTCCCCACACAGAGGCCTGACCTCAGACGGCCCGATCCCTTCTTCCTAGCCCACCCAGGCCTGCCTGTAGTTACTTAGATATTGGAAAGGGCCCCAAAGGGTGATGAATCAGTTCATTGGTGCGCTTAATATGTACAACTTCTCAGGGATATTGGCATTTTAACAAAAGTTAGTGGCGAAGCTGGAGGGGTTGGCTTTAGAATTTCAGGTGTCAATGACTGCTGCATAGACTGGGGACTATTTGAGGGGCAGAAACACTCAGGGCATTGGTGTCCAAGTTTTGTTGCACATTAGAATCACCTGAGACCTTCTGTCCAGGTTGCAGTCCCCAGTTCCCAGTATCTGGGGGCATCAGCATCTTTGAAAGATCCCCAGACAGTTTCAATAAACAGGCATCATGGTCTGGAAACTACTGTCAAAGACAGAGTAAAAGGCACTTCCAGGCAGGCTTTGAAACAAAACAGACTTGGATCAGAGCACAGCTAGGCCTGAGTGATTGTAGGACTCTTGGTCCCACGTGCTTCATTTAATCCTTGCCAAAGCCCTTCGAGGCAAGTGGGAGGATCTCCACCTTACACGCAGGGGAACTGAGGCACAAAGAGGTTTTGGCATGCCCGGAGCTCTGTGTGCTTGGCCCAGAGCCACGAGCAGGCCAAGGGTGCTGCCCACCGCATGGGCTGCGGTTGCCTGGCTTCCCCTGCCTTGGGGTCCAAGGACATTTTTCACTGTTCAGGGGAGGGAATTAGCTGTGCTCCAGTGTATATAGGGCAGGCCTCACACAAGACAGCAAGTTTACTAATTTCCACCGTGATTCTGCAATCATTAAGAATGAAGACTTTGAAGAATTTTAATGACATGAAGAAATGTTCATGATGGGCACGATAGAGAACTAAACAAAACAAGCAGGATACAAAACCATACACATCATGATCCCAATTATGTGTGTGTGTGTGTGTGTGTGTGTGTGCATGCGCGTCTTTGTGGACAGAAAACAGACAGAAGTAAACACCAACAGAGGTTATTTCTGGGTTATGAGATTATAGATTTTTTTTCTTCTGGTTTTTCATTTTTTTTTTAACTTTTCCTTATTTCCCAAATTAGTCACAATGAGCAAGCATTATTTATACAATCAGAAAGGCTAAATACATTTTTAAAGAGTATATGAAGGTAGGGCATATTGGCTCACACCTATAATCCCAGCACTTTGGGAAGCCGAGGCAGGCGGATCACGAGGTCAGTGAGTTCAAGACCAGCCTGACCAATATGGTGAAACCCCTGTCTCTATTAAAAATACAAAAATTAGCTGGGTGTGGTGGTGGATGCCTGTAATCGCAGCTACTCGAGTGTCTGAGGCAGGAGAATTGCTTGAACCCGGGATGTGAAGGTTGCAATGAACTGAGATTGCGCCACTGCACTCCAGCCTGGGTGACAGAGTGAGACTGTCTAAAAAAAAAAAAAAGAGTGTATGACAGTGACTGTGTTATTAGTTGTGTGTGTTATTTAAGCCCCTGCCTTTTAGAAATACATACTAAAGTGTTTGCAGATCAAACAACATGATGTCTTGAATTTACTTAAAAAGATGGGGGTAGTACGTAAGGACAGAGATGAAACGAGAGGCCATGAGTGGATACTGCTGAAGCTGAGGATGGGTACTGGAGTTCACTGTCCTATTCTCTTCACTTTTGTATATGAAAGACATTTTCATATATGTACATGAACATATATATTTTATATGTGTGTGTATATATAAGAATATATGCATACATATATTCGTACACAACTTTTAAAGATCCTTTTTCTTCATAAACATTCCTACGAGAACATTAGGAAAGTGCTTTTGGTTTTCTCTTGACAGAACATTTTCCCAGAGAAGTGATCCACAGTCCCAACCACTAGCCCCAACTCTGAGGGACAGGAAGTCCCATCCATGGCCAGGCAGACCAGGGTCCAAGGTCTCAGCGTGGTACCTTTTCTGACCCAGGTTAAGTCCTTCCACTCGACTGGTCCTCAAATCCTCTACCTGCTAAATGGGCATAGCGTGCCCAGCCTTCCTGGATGTTACAAGAGCAGTGGTAGGGAAACCTAGTTCCCTGGCCCCCCAGGCCAAAAGGAAAAGAAGCCTAGATTAAGCCAGAGGCTGGGTTCTCTGGAGGTCTGGGGCACTGACAGGGGCCACTGGGCAGAGGGCCAGCTTAAAGGAGAGTGTGGCCTGAAGGTGTGGGTAGGGCAAGGCTTGACTCCACTCAGTGATGCATCCTCCCCAGAACCTGTAAGTAACAGGAAGACCCTACCCTGAACAGAGCTCTGGGGATGAGGGGAGGGTTTGAGCCCCTGCTGGCAGGCAGAGGCCACCCCAGTGAAGGCCCTACTGTGGACTAAGTCCTTTAAAAAAAATAGGAACACTTTTACCCCGTTGGTGGGAGTGTAAATTAGCTCAACCATTGTGGAAGACAGTGTGGCCATTCCTCAAGGATCTAGAAATAGAAATTCCATTTTACCCAGCAATCTCATTACTGGGTATATACCCAAAGGATTATAAATCATTCTATTATAAAGACACATGCACACATGTTCATTTGCGGCACTATTTACAATAGCAAAGACATGGAACCAACCCAAATGCCCATCAATGATAGACTGGACAGGGAAAATGTGGCACATATACACCATGGAATACTATGCAGCCACAAAAAAGGGATGAGTCCATGTCCTTTGTAGGAACATGGATGAATCTGGAAACCATCATTCTCAGCAAACTGACACAAGAACAGAAAACCAAATACTGCATGTTCTCACTCATAGGCAGGTGTTGAACAATACCTGCAGGTGAGAATACATGGGCACAGGGAGGGGAATGTTACACACTGGGGTCTGTTGCAGGGTGGGGGACTAGGGGAGAGACAGCTGGGGGTGGGGAGGTTGGGAGGGATAACATTGGGAGAAATGGCTGATGTAAGTGATGGGGGGATGAAGACAGCAAACCACCATGGCAGGTGTGTACCTATGCAACAATCCTGCAAGATCTGCACATGTACCCCAGAACTTAAAGTATAATTACAATTTAAAAAAAAAAACCCTGGGAGAATTTTGTCTCAAGCCCTAGAGCCCATAACCACTGGCTTCTCCTGGCCATTCGTTTGATTTCATCTTATGGATAAGCGAAACCTTGAAACAATTGTTTTGTCTTTGCTTTGGCTACTGGGAAGCTCCCTGCCTACCACACTTATTGACCCACTTCTCTCTCCCGTTTAGAACTTTATCATATTTGTTTCTGTGTAGCAACCCAACCAGCTGTATATTCTTTTTTTACTGATCCTTCATCTACTTATTTTTTTGTCCTTTGTATGTTTCTCCCAAAAGCGACATTGCATTATTTTTGCAAGGAAATAGCTGTGAGTAAATAAATGGCATTGTGAAGTCTGGGATTCACGTTCATGCTCCCTCTGCCCAAACACGTTTGCTGTTGTTGTTGTTTTTAACTTCACAACATCTTGTTGAATTTGTAGGTCAGATTTTCTACCTCACTTTATTTTGTAGTCAGTTTTTAGTTTTAATAATTTGCAAATACATATGGTTTCAAAGAATCAAACAATTCCTGTTACAGAACCAGCAGCCCCCTGGCACCACCCTCACTTCCTGTTCCTCAGCTGAGACTACTCTTTGAAACTCTCTTAACTGCTTCTAAAAAATATGCTGATGTCGCTAATTGAGGATTTTTCAGTCTAGGGCATTTTCTGTGAACTTCCCAGTATGAAGATGAGACCAGTGTTCTCTCCCAAACACCCGCTCCACCCTCCCACGAGGCTCATCTTCCACCCCAGTGTTTGCTGACTCAGCCATCCACACTTACGTTATTTTGATTATGTGCATGCTATTGAGAGTTGTACAATATAGTGTACTGGGGCTGCTTTTCCTTTTTATTTTCCCTGAGGTCAGTCTCTCCGTCTCTGTTAATTTTCTCTCCCACCCCCATTTGACTGGTGGGGACCAGGTGTCCCACTCAGGAGCCCATAGCACTATCAGGTCCCATCACGGCTCCCCCTGGGTCTCTGCCAGGTAAGGCATCTGGCTTGCTGTCCCTGCACTTCTCCACTTCTCCCTAAGGACAGAGAGAACTCCTCTCTTTAGCTTGCGGCCCCAGTCCCGGAAGCTTACCTGGAATGAGCCAAGGGCCAATTCAAAAAACAGCTGGATCTCCATGGCGTCCTCCGGGGAGAAGGCAAAGACGATGTAGTGGATGCCAAAGAGGGGGATCAGCAGGAGTGTGGACCTGGCCAGGCGCCTGGGGACACAGAGACACTGCAGCCTCCACTCGCCTCCCTGTGCCCTTCCTCCTCCCGCGGGCACACAGCTGTGCCACTCCCCACCTCAGGACTGACTGCTGAGGCTAGCCAGCAGTGCTCAGACATTATTGTTGTCATTTTTTTATATTGAAAATTTCCAGCTCCCACAGGTCAGTCACTCAGATATAACTCTTTTTGACTCATGGCGAAGCCCCAAATTTTGTGATCATGCACTTCTATCAGTAAAAAGAAAAAAAAAAAACAACATTAACTTTATTTATAAATTACATGCCTATATCATTGCTATTCTATGCCTAACATCATATAAACAAAGCAGCTTTCTCATTTGCTAGACAATAAATATCTATAAGGTGAAATTCTTGTATTTTCTTTCTGGATTAAGGTTGCCAAACTTAGCAAATAAAAATACAGAATCCCCAGTGAAATTTGAATTTCTATCTTTTGGGGGCATAAATACTGAAAAATGATTTGTTGTTTATCCAAAATTCAAATGTAACTTGACATCCTGTATTTTACCTGGCAGCTTTATCCCAGGTCCCCAGGAATCTGATACCAAGTAATCCAAGCCACTGTCAGATTCTCAAAACACAAAACAGCATGGAGACGGTCTTGGGGGAATGCTAATTTGTCTTGTTTTTGTTTCGTTTACTTCTTCTTTTTGAGACAGAGTCTTGCTCTCTCATGCAGGCTGGAGTGCAGTGGCGCAATCTCCGCTCACTGCAACCTCCACTTCCCTGGTTCAAGCGATTCTCCTGTCTCAACCTCCTGAGTAGCTGGGATTACAGGTGCGTGCCACCAAACCTGGCTGATTTTTGTATTTTTGGTAAAGATGGGGTTTCACCATGTTGACCAGGCTGGTCTCGAACTCCTGACCTCAAGTGATCCGCCCACCTTGGCCTCCCAAAGTGCTGGGATTATAGGCATGAGCCACTGTGCCTGGCCACTAATTTGTCTTTAATATCAGTGATGGAATGAATTATGTCCACACCCACGTCAAATTTTTACACTGAAGCCCTCGCCCCCAGTATCTCAGAATGTGACTGCATTTGGAGAAAGGTCTTGAAAGAGGAGGCTAAGTTAAAGGGTGGAGTGGGGCCTAATCAATCAACCGGTGTCCTTACAAGAAGAGAAAATATGGACACACAGAGGGACACCAGGGATGCCCCCCACACAGAGCAAAGGCCCTGTGAGGACACAGTGAGAAGGGCCAAAGAGAGAGGCTTTAGAAGAAACCAAACCTGCGGACATCTTGACCTTGGACTTTCAGCCTCCGAAACTCTGAGAAAATAAATGCCTGCTGTTTAAACCCCCTAGTCTGTGATATTTTGTTATGGAAGCCCTAGAAAACGAATGTATTTCTCTTTAAATGTGAATGGTCTTAAGTATTTCTGGATCACACACCTCCCTAAAATCTGATGAAAGCTAAGGTCATCCTCCTCGGAAAAATACACATACTGTACCTAAACACATTTGTCTGAATTTGTCTTTGAAGCCCATGCGGAGACTCCCTAGCCTTGCCCCCAGGATGAGATCTCTCTACCTTGGGCTTCCTGACTGAGATGTCTTCATGTTTCCACCCCCATACAGTGTCTGAGGCTCTACCGTCAGACCATTTCCCCCAGCCACCGCCATGTACCTGATAAACTTCTCAGGACTAGATCTACAGCTTTTCCTCCATCTCCAATAGCTAGCACCAGTTGAGTAAACAGTAGGTGCTCAGTAAAAGCTTGCTGACTGACTATGCCTCCGTCTTTGCCCTTTACTTACTTATAATGGCTGACTTCATTTCCTCTTGTTTCTTGGGTTCTAAGTTTTCTCATCAGGATTCTTAGAATATTTATGAAAAGGAGGAAATTAATCTGCAAAACACAAGGCAGAGGTGGGGCTGAAGGTATCTTGCTTTTCTGGCTACCTCTCCTGGCCCTGGCCCTGGACCTGAGGTCAGAGAAGACATTGCAGACACCACAGGCAGGATGGCTCACCACTGCTGCCCACCAACTACACCTCCCCACCCCCAAAACAGACTGTCTAGACAGAGTCCATGGCTAGAGACAGCACTCCCTTCTACCCCGGCACTGCAGCAGCAATCAGGCCTGTTCAGTTACAGGGCAGATCACTCACCCTTGCAGAGCACTGGAAGCCCTGGGGGATATTGTTAAAATGCAGGTCTGGGCCAGGGGTGGCTCACATCTGTAATTCCAGCACTTTGGGAGGTCGAGGCGGGCAGATCACCTGAGGCCTGGAGTTCCAGACCAGCCTGACCAACACAGAGAAACCCTGTCTCTACTACAAACACAAAATTAGCCGGGGGTGGTGGCGCATGCCTGTAATCCCAGCTACTCAGGAGGCTGAGGCAGGAGAATCACTTGAACCTGGGAAGCAGAGGTTGCGGTGAGCTGAGATCACGGCATTGCACTCCAGCCTGGGCAACAAGATCGAAACTCTGTCTCAGAAAAAAAAAAAAAGCAGGTTTGGGATGCACCTCAGATTCTGCATTTCTAACAAGCTCCCAGGTAATACGATGCCAAAGCTGACTGGCTTTACAGCAGTTGTTCTCCAAGTTTAGGGTATCCATTGATGGGCTCTACCCCAACAGGTTATGGTTCAGTAAGTCTGGCATGGGGTCCAAAAATTATTATTTTTAACAAGCTCCCAGGTGATGCTGAAGCTACTGGTGTGAGGACCACTTTGCAGCTTAATCGCCAGCTCCAGGAAGCCATCCTGATTACTTCCTTTTTCTGATTCACTGTATTCAGGGATAATATTACTGTGTAAGAGCACTTAAAATATCTTTTTTTTTTTTTCTTGCAAACTACTATTGGGAGATAAAATATCTTAGAAGGTCTAATGCATGTGTCCGTCAAACATGTGTGTGACTACTTATCTGCCAGTTCAACCGTAACTTCCTGAAGGACAGGAATGCAGTCTTTTTATTCATTTTGGTGTCCCCTCCCCTACCCCAGTGCCCAGTGCCGGCAACATTAAGAAGCTGCCCACATGGTAGCATCTCTCCCTCCCTCACCTGCCTGCTCCAGCCATTTTATAGAAGCAGGGATTGGTGGGATCACCCAGCCTCACGCCTGCACTGTCCACATGAGTAGCCGGGGGCCTGAGAACGCTTGCCAAAAGACACAGGATTAGTGGCTGTCTAGGACTCCTGGCCCAGCACTCCTTTTTGGAGAACGCTGTTTCTCTGTGACTTGTTTATGTATCTTGTTGCAAGCTGGCCATGCATGCTGTCAACTCATTAAGGCTACTTAGTTTAATTTTGTTTGGCTTTGAGTTGTATTTAACTTAATGGGGAGCACCTGAAGGCAGAAAGAGAAAGAGAAATAAAGACAAAAAGATGAAAGAGAGAGAAAGAAAAGAAAGAAGGAAAGAAAGAAGAAAGAAAAAGAGAAATAGACCTAAAGACAGAAAGATGAAAGAGAGAGAGAAAGACAAGAGAAAGAAAGAGAAAGAAAAGAAAACGAAAGAAAGAACGAAAGAAAGAAAAGAAAGGAAGAAGGCCGGGCGCGGTGGCTCAAGCCTGTAATCCCAGCACTTTGGGAGGCCGGGGTGGGTGGATCACGAGGTCAAAAGATCGAGACCATCCTGATCAACATGGTGAAACCCCGTCTCTACTAAAAATACAAAAAAAAAATTAGCTGGGCATGGTGGCGCATGCCTGTAATCCCAACTACTCAGGAGGCTGAGACAGGAGAATTGCCTGAACCCGGGAGGCGGAGGTTGCGGTGAGCCGAGATCGCGCCATTGCACTCCAGCCTGGGTAACAAGAGCGAAACTCCGTCAAAAAAAAAAAAAAAAAAGAAAGAAAGAGAAGGAAGGAAGGAAAGAAAAAGAAAGAAATCTTTAAGATCCCAAGAATGAGTCTATTTTTAAATAGTGTTCTTCCAGGCCCTGTGCTAGGTTGGTAGGGAGATGTTTTGCATCAAGATGGATGCTCATCCAACATCCTCAATCACTGGGTAAACCACAATCCTCTGAAACCAGCCCTGGACACTGGAACTGGCCGTCCTTCATCCGGGGTTGTCCTGGGCTGGGCTGTCCAAGTCCCAGAATAACAGCAGGGCTGGCTTAACTAAATGAGGAAACAGCCTCCGGCATGAATATTATGAAGCAATAGCAAAGCAGTTTGTCAAGGGATTCCATATGAAACAGAAGAGTTCCCATCTATTGCTAGATGAAAAAACAAAACAAAACACCTAATTAGGATACAAGACTATATTAAGGATTTTGAAAAAGAAAAGTGTGTCTGCTCAAAGAAAAAGATAGGAAGGATAACACATGCTCATAACATATACGTATAGGTGGGAGAATCATGAGTGATTTTATTTTTCCTTTTTAAAAAAGACATTTTGTGCCAGGCATAGTGGTTCACGCCTGCAATCTCAGCACTTTGGGAGGCTGAGACGGGCAGATCACTTGAGTCCAGGAGTTCAAGACCAGCCTGGGCAACACAGTGAAACCACATCTCCACAAAAAATTAGCTGGGTGTGATGGCGGGAGCCTGTAGTCCCAGCTACTCGAGATTTGATGTGGGAGGGTCACCTGAGCCCAAGAGATGGAGGTTGGAGTGAGTTATGATTGCGTCACTGCACTCCAGCCTGGGTGACAGAATGAGACCCTATCTCAAAGAGTAAAACAAAAACAAACATTTTGTATTTTGCATTTTTTGCTCAGATTATATAATTTAAAAAGAATAAAATAAGGTTGTCTTGGAATGGTCCCCTCTTCTCAACCAATCCCAAGATGCCACTCAGGCAGCTACTGGAAGAGAAGGGGCCCTGTCCTGTGCCCTCTCCCCCTGCCCCACCCTATCGAGCCTGTGCAGGACATTCTCTTTCAACTGGTTCTGCAGCCTTGGGCATTCCTGGGCTGTCTGTGTGGACGTTAGTTTCAGCCACGGAACTGCTTCCATCCATGAAACCATTCTCATCTGTCCCTATGTGTCTTCCCTCCTCTGTCCCCCTATTCTGACCCATACCCATGGGCCGGGCTACAGGACTTTACCCTGGCACAGAGCAGAATTGCCTGGGGACCAGTACACAGGCCTTTTGCCAGAAAAAGGAATGGAATCACTAGAGATCAGTATTTTTAAAAAGCTCCCAGGTGATTCGAAAGGGCCACCAGGGTTGACACCCGCAAGCTCCTGTCCAAGATCTCTTCCCTGGGGCCACCCCTGCAGGCCTGAACCCACTCGCAGCCCTGCAAAGTCCCAAGACCATGGCCTCCCTGAGCTTGTCTGATCTGCACTTCCACCCTCTCCGGTGATCTCAGCTTAGGGTCTCATCCCAGGTTAACAAGCAACTCCCTAGAAGAATGCTCAAGGCCCATGGGTGAAGGTGGAATTGCAAGCCAGTGGGAGGCAGTCAGTATAAAACAAGGAGCTCTGCTCACCACATTTGAGCTGCTGCTCCTGGGAAAGAACAAGGTTCGCAGGCTCTTGCCTCCAGCCCACCCCTCACACCACTCCTACTCATTTTGTAGGGGGCGGAGCTTCCACACCACCATGATGCTTGCCAATCTCACAAGCACCGTGGCTTATTCCTCCTGGTGCCTGCAGGGAGCCCTTTCCCCCACCCCGCCCTCTGCCCTTGTGGACTGGTCACTGTTTCTGTCTGTTCCACTGACTCCTAGCTCGGGAGAGGAGGGCCACTCACCAGGATGGAGAGGATCACAGGCCCGCGAATGATCCACCAGATGGATGTGTTGGCATTGATGTCCCAGCACCTAAGGGAGAGACAGCTGGGCATGGTTACAAGTGGGACCTGGGCTGACCAGCAAGGACATGTTCCCCGAGGTGGCCCTTGGTATGAAGGACCCATGTTTGTGGCACTGAGCCCCTGGGCTGTGTGCACAGCACTGTTAGAACCCACCCCCTTCTGCCACCCAGGAGCATTGCTGGGGCTGAAAGAGTGGCCACCTGTCTCCCTGCGAGAACCTGAGAGCTGTGAGACTCCCAGATCCAAAAGTTAGCTCACCGTCAGAATTCACCAGCGAGCACGGTGGCAAACTCAGCTACCAACAGAGGCCAGGAAGATGACCTCAGCAAGTGAAATGGTGGATGGCTGACACGCGACCTCAGGATGCGGGGACATCAGGCCTGGAGGGTACTTGGCAAACTGGGGAGCATGTGCCCTGTCTAAGACAGCCACAGCTCTGCTCCAGCTCATTTTTACCACAAGGAAAAATGGAACATCTTAAAAGACATCTCCATTTTTTTTTCTAGATGGGCTGAAAAATCCAGACTTTTAAAAAAGTGAATTCACCCAATACAAAAATTATTTTGAAGCAATCATTTGGGGCTGAATTTGGACTATAGACACTTGGACGTCTCATTTGACCTCATCCACTTATTGGCCTGGTTGTGTCATTACGCCCTTGAGAAATCAACTCCCACACTGACCTGCTGCCTCGCCTCTTCCCGAGTTTCTTTTCTTTTTTCTTTTTCTTTTTTTCTTTTTTGAGACGGAGTCTTGCTCCATCACCAGGCTGGAGTGCAATGGTGCCACCTCAGCCGATCTTCTTTCAAGCTTGTTTCCCAGGTACCTACTCCCAGGTGAGTCCCCTGGGCTCACCTCCACCCTCAATGCCCGACTTCTTTAGAGCCTGGCTCTGCAGGGCTCCTAAACACCCAGGCGTAGAGAGGCATCCAGGAGGGAGATCCCAGGAGGAAGGAAAAGCTAGGCTGGCCCTTCCCTGAGTTTCCTCCATGGAGTGACACCTGCCTGGAGTCGCGTAGCTCTTGTCTGGCATCTGACCCACACACAGAGCAGACAGGCAGCAAGAAGACAGGAAGGCCAGGGTGGTGCAGCCCAGGAAGGCCAGGATGGTGGCCAAGGCTGCTTGGCCCATCTGGAAACTCACACCTGGGAAGCAGTGAGCATCACTCTAAGGAACTCATTGTGGCCTCTACTTTGAGAAAAAGGCCTTTCCTAGATAGCTCCAAAGAAGTATCTGTGCTATTTGAAAAGCTGGACGATGTCAGCTACATTCTCGTTATCCTCCTTCCAGTAGCTTACCCAGCGTCTTCCAAGAAGAGTCTGGCAATAGCCCACAAAGCAACAAAAATGGCTGGAGAACCTGAGGATTAAAAATAAAGGATGATGCAGAGGAGACAGGACTCGATTTTCAGCACACATATGGGAACAGGAGCAAGCGGTTACCCCAGCCCAGCTACAGAGCAGGTGCCAAGATTTGGTGTCCACAGAGACCCCTCTGCCATCCCGTGTGAACATGGCGCCATGTGCCTCAAGGGTGCCAGGCATGGCCTGGGAACTGTGGCAGAATCAGAAGGATCCCAAAGGCCACTTGATGTTAGGGGTCTCCTGGGAACCTGGGCTGGACTCCAGAGGACCACTGTGGAGCACAGAGGGGCTGGGACTCCTGGGCAAGCTCCTGGATCCATGGAGGGAGCTGGTAGAGCCCCCATCTCATACTGTGGTCTGCCTGGCCATCTCCCTCTTCTGCAGCAGGGAGGAGGAGACGGAGAAGGGGTGGGAACAGGTCATGAAATAAACATTGATTTTATTCAAATATTGGTTTGTAAAAAGCTTGGCCATTACAACTAATGGCTAAGGTAAGCCATCACTGTCATGTTTAAACAAAAACATGTTTTGGACTAGAGATGAGATCAGGTCCACAACAATTTCGAAGAGAAAACACAACAACATTTCCTGACTTCTAGTTAAACATGGCAAACTGAACTCATACATTTATCCCTACTTCCCCTGAAACCCCTCTAAAATGATAACAAAGAAATAGACATGGTAAAAGCCCATGAGGACAAAGACTGAGAAGGAAGGGTAGAGCGGGGGAGAGACGGCAACATGCTTAGGAACACAGACGGCCGGCAGAGGAGTGGCAGCTGATGTTCTGAACAGAGGAAGCTGAAACAGAAGTGCTGTCTGGGCAATGCCGCTGGGGAAGTACCCAAGGAGGCTCTAGGGCCAGGGCACCCAGTACCCAGGAGGCAGGAGGCAGGGTGGGGCTGGGGCCGTACAATGGTTTGAAGTCTGGATAAGAAACATAACCACCCCAGGCGGCCAGCACTACCCTCAAGAGACCGAATAGTTAGCTGCATATCCCAGACAGAGTTTCTTCTCTGGGAAAACTGAGCCAAGGAATACAGCGCTGCAGCCTAGCAGAGGGTCAGAGTGGGTGCTCCACCGAGCAGGAATGGAGTGATGGTCTATACCAGCTCTCAAGGTAGCTCTTGAGCACCTGGTATGCAGCTGGTCCCTACTGAGTTGTGCACTAACTGCAAGACAGATACTAGATTTTGAAGACTTAGTACAAATAAAAGAATGTAAAATATGGCCGGGCATGGTGGCTCACGCCTGTAATCCCAGCACTTTGGGAGGCTGAGGCAGATGGATCACCTGAGGTCAGGAGTTCGACAGACCAGCCTGGCCAACATGCTGAAACCCCATCTCCACTAAAAATACAAAAATCAGTCAGGCATGGTGGTGGGCACCTGTGATCCCAGCTACTCAGGAGGCTGAGGTGGGAGAATCCCTTGAACCCAGGAGGCAGAGGTTACAGCGAGTCAAGATTGTACCACTGCACTCCAGCCTGGGTGACAAGAGAGAAAATCTGCCTCAAAAAAAAATTTATCATTACCATTTTTATATTAATTATACATTGAAATGATACTATTTTGGTTACCTTGGGTTAAACAGAATAGATTATTGAAATGAATATCACCTCTTTCATTTTACTACGTTGATTTTGGCTACTATAACATTTTAAGCTAGATGTATGGCTCAGATTCTTTTTTTTTTTTTTTTTTAAGCATAAATACTTAAATCAGATTCTATTTTTTAACGGACATGCTCATGCTGAATGGTAAAAGCCCCAGCCCCCAGGCCACTTAGTTTTCAGGCCTCTACAGACAGGTTTCTACCCCCACCCCAGCCCTCTACCCTCTGCCCGCCTCCCTGCCACTGCAGGCTGGAGATTAAATGATTCTCTAGAGGAACTGAACAGTCCCAGACAAAGGGCCTATAGATAGCCATGGGGGGGACCCCCCAACACTTCCAGCCCAGTGTCCCTAGAGAGACAAACCCCACACCCCCGACAGCCTTTAGCCGGCTCTGAAGTGATTCATTCTTAAATAGAAACAGACAGCCAAGGTCACCAACATCTTATTACATAAAAGACGAAGACCAAAACAATCAGAGAAAAGGAACTCAGAGGAAACAGACCATACAGGAAGCAGAAGGAACTGGAACAAAACAACTCTAAGGAACGCTGTTGGAGAGATAAAAGGTCGCATCTACAAACACAAACAGAATCAGAGGACAAGAAAGGAGGCTTAGGAACTGCACATATGATAACCAGACTTAAAAATGCAATAGATGGACTGGAAGATAAAGACTAGGAATCTCTCAGAAAGCAGAATAAAAACAGTGGAATGAAACGTAGGAAAAATAAATTAAAACATTAGGGGTTATTCCAAGATATACATCATTAGACTAGAGGGAGTTTCAGAAAAGAGAGGATAAAAAACAGAAGGAAAGAAACAATTAAATAGATAATGTAAGAACATTTTCAACAAATAAAAGACATGAATTTGCAGATGAAAGGGACACCAGGATGCCAGGAAAAAGGATGAAAAAGACCTGCATCACAGCACATCCCTGTGACATTTCAGAACACAGAGTGAAGATCCTGCAGCTTATGTAGAGAGGAGTAAAAAGTGGGAGCAAACTGGCATGGCACTTCCCATAACACTGATGCCAAAACACATGACCCACAAAATTCTGGGGAAAATGAATTTTCAACTTGTTTGTTTTTGTTTTTTGTTTTTCGAGACAAAGTCTTACTCTGTTGCCCAGGCTGGAGTGCAGTGGCGCCATCTCAGCTCACTGCAATCTCCATTTCCTGGGTTCAAGTGATTCTCCTACCTCAGCCTCTCCAGTAGCTGGGATTACAGTCACCTGCCACCACGCCCAGCTAATTAGTAGAGACAGGAATTCACCATGTTTGCCAAGTTGGTCTTGAACTCCTGACCTCAAGCAATCTGCCCTCCTCGGCCTCCCAAGGTGCTGGGATTACAGGTGTGAACCACCATGCCTGGCCTTCAACATGTTTTAGGTCCAGCAAAACAATGAATTAGGTGTGAAGGTTGAACAAAGATATCTTCAGACATGCAATACCAAAAAATGTTCCTTCCAGGTGGTCTTGGTTAGACAGATACTGGAGGATGTGCTCCCACACAACTAGAGGGTAAACCAAAGACAGGGAGACGAGAAAGAAAGGAAACAGGATTTGCGGAAGAAGGTGAAAGCTAAAGGAGCTGAGAGAGCTGGAGAACAACCAGCTCAAGTCAAGCAGGAAGGCAGAAAGCTCTAGAAAAAACACTGGCAAGTATACCAGGTTGAATAGCGTCCCCCCAAAATTCATGTCAACCAGAACCTCAGAATGTAACCTTACCTGGAAATAGGGTCTTTGCAGATATAATTGGTTAAGATAAAGTCATAATGGAATAGGGTGGGCCCCTACTCCAATATGACTGGCATCCTTATAAGAAGGCCATGAGAGATACATAGACAGAGAATTCACAGAGGAAGAAGTCCATGTAATGACATATGCAGGAATGGAGCTGATGCAACCACAAGCCAAGGAAGGCCAAGCATTGCCAGTCACCACCAGAAGCTAGGGAAAGAGATATGGGACAGATCCTCCATCAGGGCCTCTGGAAGAAACCAACCCTGCCGACCCTTTGATTTCAGACTTCTGGCCTCCAGAGCTGTGAGGGAGTAAACTTCTGTGTTTTAAGCCACCAAGTTTGTGGCAAATTTGTTAAGGTAGCCTTAGGAACTAATATAGCAGAAAACAAACAAATAGGAACTGATAGATTTTGTATTGCATTTGATGATTTGGAAAATAAATAGCATTGGAAAGATTTCCAAAGAATTTGAGAGAATTGATGCTAGCAATATATGAAAAAAAAAAATTTAAAAAAAGCAAATGAGAAATGATTCCAGGAAAATAAAAAGTCAAATAAGATTGAAAGTAAAACTATTGGCTGGGCGCGGTGGCTCACACCTGTAATCCCAACACTTTGGGAGGCCGAGGCGGGTGGATCACAAGGTCAAGAGATCAAGACCATCCTGGTTAACATGGTGAAACCCCATCTCTACTAAAAAATACAAAAATTAGTTGGGCATGGTGGTGTGTGCCTGTAGTCCCAGCTACTAGGGAGACTGAGGCAGAAGAATCGCTTGAACCCAGGAGGCGGAGGTTGCAGTGAGCCGAGATTGTGCCACTGTACTTCCAGCCTGGCGCCTGACAACAGAGCAAGACTCTGTCTCAAAAAAAAAAAAAAAAAAAAAAAAAAAAAGAAAGAAAGTAAAACTATTGTACACCACTTGTCTTAGTATAAAACACTATTTATGTAGATATAATAATGTATACACTGAATGTTATTTAACCAAAAATGATGAGAAACTATAATGGAAGAATGGAGGTAGAGGATTAAGGATTTTATATTCTTGGTTGGGCACGATGCCTCACGGCTATAATCCCAGCACTTTGGGAGGCTGATGCAGGAGAACCGCTTGAGCCCAGGAGTTCAAGGCCAACCTGGGAGACATGTCAAGACCCTCTTTCTACAATAAATATAAAAAATCAGCCAGATGTGGTAGTCCTAGCTACTTGGGAGGCTGAGGCAGGAGGATCGCTTGAGCCCAGGAGCTAGAGGTTGCAGTGGGCTATGATTGCATCACTGCACTCCAGCCTGGGCAAGAGAGTGAGATCATGTTTCAGAAAAGAAAAAAAAAATTTATACTCTTACTTTCTATCATAAGGAGTCAATAACTAATGCTTCAAACAGACAAATCAGGAAATAATAGCGTATTGCTTAGAAACACAGGAGTAAATCTTAGGAGGAACAAGTTAAGAGAGTGAAAGGGCATTAACTCTGGGGCCTGAGCTCAGGCATAAGAAGTGAAGGTGGGAGACAGCTTTTGTTTATTATAAACCTTGTGGTCTTTTGTTTAATTGTTTAAACCAAGTACATGAATGACTTTGATAAAAATAACAAGTAAAAAAATACCTTGGGCTGGGTGTGATAACTCATGCCTATAATCCCAGCACTTTGGGAGGCTGAGGAGGGGGAAATCACTTAAGGCCAGGAGTTCGAGACTAGCCTGGGCAACATAGTGAGACATTGTCTCTATAAAAAGTATAAATAAATAAATAAATAAATATAATAAAAATTAGCCAGATATGGTGGTGTGCAGCCACCCAGGAGGCTGAGACAGAAGGATCACTTGAGCCCAGGAGGTTGAGGCTACAGTGAGCCATGACTGCATGGCTACACTCCAGCCTGGGTGACAGAGACCCCGTCTCGAAAAAAAAAAAAAAAAAGTCGCCTCAATTATTGGTGCTTTAGGCAAAGAACATGGGTTTTGAGAGGCACTAGTTCATTATCTTCCATCCTTAGTGGCAAGTTGGTGGGAAAGTTTGAAAAAACTGTAATGGTTTAAATCGGTAGCTCTGTGTGGTCCCTGGACCCGCAGCATGAGCATCACCTAGGAATGTGACAGAAATGCAGAGTCTCGGGCCCCACCCTGGACCCACTGCCTCGGAGTCTCTGAGTGGGAAGTGCGGCAAGCTGGGTTTGGCAGACCCTCACCGATGCTGACGCAGAACCGCCAGCACCAGCCGCTCACTCTCACTCGATGAGTGGGAGCCTGGGTCATCTAGACAGCCTGTGCTATCACTCTTTTCTGGGCACAGACTCACACCTCAGCTGCTCTGAAAACGTCAAAGCTTTGGGTAAGTGTCAAAAACCTTAAAGGTGCTCACTCCTTTTCACTCAGGAATCCATATCCTGGGATTCTGTATCACATACAGAAAACACTTTGCCCATAAAGATATTCATCACTGTGCTATTTACAATAGTGAGACAAACTAAGTCTCCAAACAATAGGTATGTGGTTAAATACATCTATATTACATCTATCCATCTATATGGTATTTTAAAATATTTATGAAAGATTTGAGGGTCTGGGTGCAGTGGCTCACGCCTGTAATCCCAGCACTTTGGTAGGCCGAGATGGGCAGATCACCTGAGGTCGGAAGTTCAAGACCAGCCTGACCAACATGGAGAAACCCCATCTCTACTAAAAATAAAAAATTAGCCAGGCATGGTGGCACATGACTGTAATCCCAAATACTCAGGAGGTTGAGGCAGGAAAATTGCTTGAACCTGGGAGGTGGAGGTTGTGGTGAGCCAAGATCGCGCCGTTGCACTCCAGCCTGGGCAACAACAGCAAAACTCCATCTCAAAAAACAAGATTTGAAATAATACAGAAATTTAGAACATGCTTACATGTTCACGGAAAGAAGCAAAATTCAAATTTCTGTGTAGAGGACGACCACAGCTATATGAGGAAAAACTGCAAGTAGAAAAAGAGGCTAGAAGGAAAGCCCAGAAAAAGTTCAGTCTATGGGACTAGGGTAATTTTTTTTTTCTACTTGAAAAAACTTTTTCTGCAAGGTTTTACAGTAGGCGTGTACCCATTTAAGCAACTATCTTTGGTGAAACCAGTATAATTTCAAGCAGGAGCAATGTACCTTTGCATGAAAAGGGCTTCTCACAGATAGAGGGGCTTCAGGACTTCCAAGGGCCCTTCGGGGTCTCTGGTGTCTGGCAGGAAAACAGGCCAGGAGGAAGAGAATCATTGCTGTTTTACATGCTACTCAATTCTCAGCACCCAGCACAGGGCTGGCGTATAGTAGATGCTCCATAAAGATTGAAGAGAAAGGAAGGTTCTCATTATTTCATTCAAACATCTTAAAAGCCTGTGACAGAGATATTATCACAATGCAACTTTGATATCTCTGAACACAGGAAGTGCTCGAAGAATGTTGAATAAATTACGATCCTGATAATATAGATGGAGAAACTGTCCATGTTCATTCAGCTAAATCTTGGCAGATCTGGGATTTAAAGCCTAGTGAGTTGGGCTCAGTGAGTTGGGCGCTTCTATGGCAGCGTCCGCTGCATAAGGCAAGTCCCTAGTCTCCAGGTGCGCTGGGATTGCTGGTCTCTGGAGACACTGACGTAACCCTACAACCTCCTGCTGGCTGAGGGTCAGGTGCTAACTGGGCTACCAAGGTTCGGAAGCAGAAGGGCTCAGCAAGATCTGCCAGTTCAGGCAGCTTCCCTAATGGGGAGACAGGGTCCTTGCAAATAAGGATTTAGACAAGCAGAAAAGGCAGCAGAGGACATTCCTGGCAGGGACACCTCTTAAAGGCACCAGGAAGAAACCAAAAGAAGCTGATGCCTAGTACACATGACTATCTCTGTAAGCCTTTGAGTCACTCTCAGAAACCTGGCTCTCTGTCTAGAACTCCTCAGGGTAACTTTCATATTTATCAAGTGAACAACTGATGGATGGACGGATGTGTGCATGGGTGGGTAGATGGATGGATGGACCGATGGATGGATGGATGGATGGATGGACAGATGGATGGATGTTAATGGCAGGGTAAAAGTTAAAGGGCTTTGGAAACAGACAGGTCTTGGCTTGACTCCTGAGGTCTGTCCTGTTTACCGTGTGAGTTGAGTATGTTGTTTTGTCTCTGAGCTGAGGACTCTGAGAGGCCTCTGGAGATTGCTATGATGATTAAATGATACATGTAAAGTGCCGAACTCAAATGTCTGGCACATAGCAAGTGCCCAAAAAAGTCGTTTATCATCTTCGTTGACCAGAAAGGAAAAGGGAGAGAGATGGAGTGGGGGCCCACACTTGGCTATCTCACTCTTATTCCCCCTCTTTCCTAGACAGTGAATCCTGAATTTCCTTTGAGAAGTCATGTGGTTTGAGTAGCTTAGGCCAATCAGCATATTTCATTCTCTCAGGCCTCTGTGACTAGTTCAAGGATGTCTATGACATTTAAGCAGTCCAACCAGAGTGCACCTCAGAATATTTGCTGAGAATGCTGGATGGAGTCTCTTTTTTTCTCTCATTAGAGTTTGATACAAGGAAGTCTCTAGCTCAGAAGATGTTGGCCATTCCATTGGGAACACCAGCCTAACTATAAAGCTGATGTTACAAAAGGCAAAGTAGAGACAGAAAGAAACAATGTTAAGCTGCTGGATTCAGCCTCTCCTGAAGTTGGTGATCCCTAGTCTTTTCAGTTATATAAGCCAATTAATTTCCTTTATGTTTAAAGCCTGACAGTCAAAAGGCAGCAAAAGCATCCTGATACAGAAAGAAAGCAAGAAAGAGGACATAGGAATGGACCATCTAAAGGCACATAAGGCAAACAAGCATTTGGTAGCAACAAACTTTAAAAAGCTCTGGATGCCAGAAACTGGGTCTAAATTTAAGCTATGATTTTCCACTTGACAGATAAGTAAACTGAGACCAGAGGGTTAAACATCAAGGAACTTGTCTAAGATTATACAACTTAGCCGGATACGGTGGCTCATGCCTGTAATCCCAGCACTTTGGAAGGCCGAGGCAGGCAGATCACCTGAGGTCAGGAGTTCGAGACCAACCTGGCCAACATGGTGAAACCCTGTCTCTACTAAAAATACAAAATTAGCCGGGTGTGGTGGCACATGCCTGTGATCCCAGCTACTTGGGAAGCTGAGGTAGGAGAATCACTTGAACCCCGGACACGGAGGTTGCAGTGAGCCAAGATTACATCATTGCACTTTAGCCTGGGCAACAAGAGCGAAACACCACCTTAAAAAAAAAAAAAAAAATTACACAAGTTAGTCAAGTGTGGAGCTGGAACTAGAAGCCAAACCCTCTGACTCTCGACTCAGCGCCCTTTCCCACATACCACACAGGTACAGACCCCAGGAGAAACATACCCCATCCGAGCGCCACAAATCCCTGGAGGTATTTTCTTTCTGAGAAGAAGGAGACGGCGAGGAGAGTGTGAAGGTAGAGGCCTTCCACCAGCAGCCAGGAGTAGTTGGCCATGATGCAGTACTGGAACAACACCATGACCAGCTTGCAGCCCGCCTGGACAGAGAGAGGCAGCTGAGCCCAGGCCGGGTGGCAGTGGGCTTCCCTCTGGTGACGGGTCCCAAAGGGAACAACAGGGTGTTGTGGGGGCAGGAGCCAGGCCACAAGAGCAGGCTTCTGGGGTTCAAGGTCATCTCCTGTGGCCTTCCCCCATCAGGCCTACAGCATTCTCTAGAGAGTGGAAGTCCACAGGCCCAGGGGGTTCAGCCAAGGTGGCCGATGAGCCAACACAGGAGCAGGGACTAGGTCCAAATGCTAGCATGGGCTGCCAGGCTAGATGAGGAGACAGTCCTTCAATTACAGAACCGTCAGATACTGCCCAATCGCCTCATTTTTTCAGATGAGGAAACCAAGGCCTAGAAAGGGAAGAGATTTCTGAGCAAAAGGTTAACAAAATCTTTTCTAAGCTCGATTCCCTTGGAAACACGTAATGAAGGGATGAGCCAACTATGTTAGGAGGCAACACTGATTATGGTAAAACGGCCCCGACTGGCACATCGCACTCTCCACACAGCTGATGGGGATGTCACAGTGTTGAGCTTCCCTGAGGCAGTGACTGACTCTTGACAGGCATGTCCCCTGCAGGGATCCCTGGAAGCTATGCCTATAGAATTGTGGGGCCCCAGGCTTCTACACTAGCACGCCTCCTCTACCTCTGTCATGGTAGGGCCTTTGTCCTTTTCTTTACACTGAGCTGTCCCCTGGGGATGGGACAGCTCCTGGGATGGCCCTAGGGCTGCTGCAAAGACAACCCCAAGAAAAAGGAGCGCCCCCTGCTTGCCTGCAGGACAGTGGTGGTTCCTGCCTTATGGCCTTTCCAGAGACTCTGATTCCAGGCAGGCCCATGGTTGACTTGTGAGTCTAATGTTTCGTAACACCTGAGATTTTACATAAAAGCAGGTTCCCTGCTGGGGCACTGCTGGCCTTGTCCAGTGCTGGTCAGTAATGAGGCATGGTTAAGATTTAAGGCTCCTGACTCCCAGCAGGTACTCTTGTTTCATCCTGAAGACCTCCCTGAGAGACATGGATCCTACCTGAAGAATCTCTCAGTCTGAGTCAGAAAACACACACACACACACACACACACACACACACACACACACACACACAAACTATGAACAATACAAACAGGTGAGTGGTAGGAAGAAGTGGCAGGCAGGTTGCTGAACTAATCTCAAATTCCAATTTCCTTCTCCCTTGCTTGCCTCTACTATGGAGACTGTGACATAAAAAACTCTATCACCCTGTTTCCTTTGCAATTAAGTGTGGTTACATGACTCAGCTCTAGCCAATGAAATGTAGGTAGGAGTTTCTGGGGAGGGTACCCTTTGTTGATAGGCAAAGCTGCCCATAAGAAAAAAAAAATGTTTAACCTTCAACCTTTCTCCTTCTTGGCTGGAACACAGATGGGAGGCCTGGAGTTGCAGCAGCCATATTGTAACCATGTGGTATAAAGCGTGACATCAAGGGCCTACTCTAAGGACGCCAGTGCAGAAACAGGGAAAAAGACTGTGTCCCTCATGGTATCGTGCAGCCACTGCACCACCTCATCTGTGGACTGCTTATGTGGGAAACAGCCCCCATTTGTTTAAGACCCTAATATACAGTTTTCCATTATTTGCAGCAAAGGAATTCCCAACTGACACACAGGGTGATTGCAATGAATTGAGTCATCCGGACATTTGGAAAGAGAAAGGGGGTTAGATTTAAGAAAACACAACTCTTTTATTGCAAACACATGTATACAGACATACTGGCCCATGCTCACCCTTTTCTTTTTATGACCAACCCCCACCCTCTTCAGAATGGGTCATCTTTCTTCAGCCAGGAACTGGCAGAAGTAGGGAAAAGAGGAGTCTCCCTACGTATCTAATTCCTAGAGTGGCTAGTTGACTCCTGGACTCAGAGTTTACGGCAATCCCCACGAGCTTCTCTCCTACATGACCCAGATTGTGCACATGTGGCTGTGGAATCTCCCTGAACCTCCTGGCTCAGCATCAGTACTGGCCACTTTATCCTTGGTATTAAGTGCAACCTCAGCAGGAGCTTGGGGGAAGAACAACTAGGCTACTTCCCTCTCCCAGGTCAGTCTGGGGAAGGCAGGCGGGCCTGGCGACACCCCGGGGCACGCAGGCCTATTACCCTGTGGGCATCGCAGTAGGTGACATCATCCGAGGAGAAGAGCACGGCGTCCTTGATGAAGTTAGACACGGCGCGAAGGATGAAGGACACGAACAGGTGCATGTGGATGTAGTTTCGGGTGCAGTGGAGCCTCCTGGAGGGAGAGAATGTAGGGCCATAGAGGCCAGAGCCCGGGGGGCTGGGACTCACCCAGGTTCACCTGCCCCCAGCGCACTGGGGAAACTGAGGCCCTAGACTTCAGCTCTTTCAGCATATCACACTCCGTAAGCATAACCTGAACGAGGACCTGGGTCCCCAGGTGGCCAGTCTCCTTTGCTTCATACTGCAGTTAAAAAATAAAAATAAAAAAAACAAAGGCAAACCATACATAGTGTGGCTCACACCCGTAATCCCGGCACTTAGGGAGGCCAAGGAAGGAAGATCACTTTAGGCCAGGAGTTCAACATAGTGAGAATTCTGTATCTACAAATACATATATATTTTTTAATTAGCTGGGCATGGTGGTGCCTGCCTGTATTCCTTGTACAAAAAGGTTGAGGTGGGAGGATCGCTTGAGCCCAGGAGTTCAAGGCTGCAGTGACCTATCATTGCCACTGCTATCCAGCCCCTGCAACAGAGCAAGACCTAGTCTCTAAATAAATAAATAAAAAGCCGGGGCTGTAGGGGCAACGTTGTATTCTGCCCTGACCTACCACCATCTCCAGCTCCCTGACTCGTTTGGGGGGAGGGATGAGGGCGGCCACCAGAATGGGAGAGGGCTGGGGACACAGAAGGAACACAGGCTGCGGGGAGAAAACAGACCTCGGCTCTGCCGCTTAGCCGCTATGTGACCTTGAGCAAGGCTTTTCACTTCCCAGAGCCTCAGTGCCCGCCTCTGCTGCAGGGGACAGAAGTCAGTTACTTGTTCTGCTGCTTCTGGTACCGGAAGAGGCTTTCCTCTGGGAAACCCATTACAGCCCTGGATTGGGAGGGCTCCACCCTTCTCACCCTCGTGACAGACTCGACCAATCAGAGTGCTCCATCGCTGCCGGTAGTGATTGGCTTGGAAGTGGGCATGTGACCCAAGCTCCGCCTATGAGAACTTGGAGGACTTTTACTAGCACCAGTGGGGAAGAGGCTCTTGTTGGCCCTGGTGTTCCCGGGCTAGCAGGATGAACGTCAGCACCTGCTGGTGGTTGTCTCTGCCACCCCAGCAGAAAGCGTCCCAGAGGATGAGGCCAACACAGAGCAGAGGAATGGAGGGAGACGGACCTAGTGCTCTGAGGCCGCTGCACACCTAGATCCAGCCATGCCTACAGCAGATGCCCCTGAGCTTGCCGGGTCAGGTGGCCTTTTTCTTACGCTGTTTTGAAGTGGATCTCTGTCTCTTGCAACAGAATCCGGCTAGTACTCCTGTAAAATGGGGTTCCTGTTACCTATCTCATAGCATTGTGTGAAAATTAGAATAATACATGTAAAGCAAGCAGCCGCAAGTTCTCAGTAACGCTTAGTAAATGTTGAACCAATAAAAGGATAAATGAGGTCACAAGAACCTCGATGTTCTACCACAGGTAAGCTTTAGATCAAGACGTGACAAGGTAGTTCACCCAGACCTTCCTCTTTCTGTCCTGGATGGTTCAGAAGAGACCCAAAGTCTGTGCCTGGGGAGGGCTGGGGTATGGAGAGCTGGCAGCGTGTTCTCACCGGAAAGCACAGAGGATGCCGAGGGCGACCAGGAGCATGACCAGGGAGGAGCTGTAGCCCACGGTGTACATGACTTTCAGCTTCAGCAGGTAGGAGTGCTGCAGAGAGAGGCACGTGTCAGCCCCGTGGCCCTCTTGGCTAGCTCTGTGCTTCTGTGCCTCAGTGCGCCCACTTCAGGCAGCTTGAACCCCACCGACGCTGCTATTCTGTCCAAACTCCAAGGATGCCAAGTCACAGAGGAACAACGCCATAACATCCTGGCATTGGAAAAGCCCTTAGGGGTCATCTGATGCCAATTCAAACTTCCACCTTATGTATGGGGCCCTTTTGCCAACTCTCTGGATTCAAGCCTTTGCTTTAATACCTCTAGAGACAAGGTGCTCACTGCCCTTTGAGAAAGTTAATTGGTGTACACCACCACAAAAGATTAGATTTTGTTTGTGTGACGCTAAAAGCAATGACTTGTACCACATATTGGTCCATTTTCTGGGAAAGTTGCAAAGGTCACACAGAGAGGCCTGCCATTTTTTAATACAGCTATTCTGCCCATCTGTTTCTCGTATATTTTCTCTATATTAAATATTCCCTGTGTCAGGTTGGGTGCAGTGGCTCATGCTTGTAATCCCAGAACTTTGGAAGGCTCAGGAGGAAGAATCACTTGAGCTCAGGAGTTCAAAACCAGCCTGGGCAACATGGCAAAACACTGTCTCTCCAAAAACATTTTAAAATTAGCGAGGCATAGTGGTACACAAATGTGGTCACAGCCACTCAGAGGCTGAGGTAGGAGAATCACTCAAGCCCGGGAAGTCAAGGCCACAGTGAGCCATGATCCAGCCACTACACTCCAGCCTGGGTGATAGAGTAAGACCCTGTCTCAGATAAATAAATGCATACATAAACATTCCCTATGTCTTTAACCTCTTTCCACTATCCTTCAACCTTTAGTTAAATTAATATGTGCCAGTTTGTTAATGTTCTTCTTAAATAAGACCCCAGAACCACATAGCTGAAAAGCTCCAGATGCATTCTCTGACCAGGAAGAGGGAGAATGGGCCCATCACCTCCCATCTCCCCGGGTCCATCCACTGCACACCTATGCAGTCAAGCAGGCATTCACTTATTCAGTGGCCACTTCACATTACTGGCTTATCTTTGAGTCAAAAAGACCTAAATGGAATATGAAAATTAAAAGATTTGGCCAGGTGTGGTGGCTCACACCTGTAATCCCAGAACTTTGGGAGGCCATGGTGGGTGGATCACTTAAGGTTAGAGTTTTAGACCAGCATGGACAACATGGAGAAACCCTGTCCCTACCAAAAATACAAAAATTAGCTGGAGGTGGTGGTACATGCCTGTAATCCCAGCTACTTGGGAGGCTGAGGCAGGAGACTCACTTGAACCTGGGAGAGGGAGGTTGCAGTGAGCTGAGATTGCCCCACTGCACTCCAGCCTGGGCACCAGAGTGAGACTCTGTATTAAAAAAAAAAAAAAATTAAAAGAGCTGCATTTAAGTTCAAAAAATAAAATGATATTAAAAAGAATCAAGGGAATATAAATTAAAAGAATAATTTTTAAAACGAAACTAACAAATATTTAAAAGTAATAATTTTCTATGCAGGTGAGGGTATAATAGGAGGGAAAACTGGTTCAACCTTTCTGGAAAGTAATAAATATGTATCAAGAACCTTTGAAATATGCATTCCTTTTGACTTCCCTCTACCTCCAGGAATTGATTCTAAAAATAATTAGAAATAAAAAGGCATATTTATACATAAAGATGTTTATCACAGACGTATTAGCGAGGAAAAAACCCAAATGTCCAACAACAGAAGAATAGTTAACTAAATTATTTTAAATACAATGCCTTTCATGCTGTACCACTAATAAAATGTTGTTTAGGCTGGGCACGCAGGCTCAAGTCTGTAATCCCAGAACTTTGGGAGGCCAAGGTGGGCGGATCATGAGGTCAGGAGTATGAGACCAGCCTGGCCAACATGTGAAACCCCATCTCTACTTAAAATACAAAAAAATTAGCAGGGCGTATTGGCGTGCGCCTGTAATCTCAGCTACGCAGGAAGCTGAGGCAGGAGACTCACTTGAACCCGGGAGGCGGAGGTTGCAATGAGCCCATCACACCGCTGCACTCCAGTGTGGGTGACAGAGTGAGACTCCATCTTGAAAAAATAAAGAAATGTTGTTTTCCAAGAGTTTAAAACAAGTCAATACATGGTGATATAGTATCACATGAAAAGACAGAATTCAAATTTGACGTGTGCAATGTGATTCCGGCTATATGTAAAAATGTATTAGGTTGAATTATATAAAAATGGATTCTGCTGAGAATTTTTTAAAAATTTTAATAAATGAATTTTTAAAAAGAATTATATGAAATTGCCCTTTTTTGTAGATAAAATGATTGAATATCAACACAAAAAATAAAGAAAGTTTTTAAAAAGATTGAATTATCGGCCATTCCAGGTGGGTCAATCTCATGCATACAGAGAAACAAGACTATAAAGAGATACAGCTGATGTTCACAGTGGTCACCTTTGCATTATAGGTTTGCAAATACAGTTGTTATTTTCTTTTGTAATTTTTCTGTATTTCTAATTTTTCTACAGTGGATAAGGGCTATTAGTAACCAAAAGAAAAGGGTAGTTAATTTTTTAAGAAGGCACAAGAATAAAATAGGGGAAACCTGGCTAATAGCTCTTCATGGGAAGATAACCTTGAGGTTGGAAAGACCGAAGCTCTGCCAGGCATGGTGACTCACACCGTAATCCCAGCACCTTGGGAGGCCGAGGTGGGTGGATCACCTGAAATCAGCAGTTCGAGACCAGCCTGGCCAACAGAGTGAAACCACGTCTCCACTAAAAATACAAAAAGTTAGCCGGGCGTGGTGGCAGGCACTTGTAATCCTAGCTATACGGAGAAGGTTGAGGCAGGAGAATCGCTTGAACCTGGGAGGCGGAGGTTGCAGTGAGCCGAGATCTCACCATCGCCTCCAGCCTGGGCAACAAGAATGAAACCCCATCTCAAAAAAAAAAAAAAAAAAAGAAAGAAAAGAAAGAAAGACCCAAGCTACACAGTGTCACCCAGTGTATGACAGAGAACACAGGCTTCAGAGACGAGGGTTCCAAACCCAGACTGTGACTCACCAGCTGTGTGACCTTGAGAAAATTATTTAACTTCTTTGAGCCTCAGATTCCTCATATGCAAAATGGGGATAATAATGTCTACCTTACCGACTTGTTGAAAGAACAAATATGGGGTCAGACAGAGTACCTAGACAATGCTTTGGCACATAGGAAACACTCAGTGTATGGTAATTTTAATTTCTTCCCACCCCACCATCCTCCTTCAAAATGAGGCAGCGGTTTCAGATGATATGAAGTCCGAGGCACAAAATAGCTTAAAAATTAGCTTCATTCTCAGTTACACTGATGGAATGCCGTGGGCAGCTGGCCACGTGGGAATGTTTGGAGAGGCTGGGTATGTTATTTTAAGAGTCACATTAATAAATTGAAGCATTTCTGGAGGAGGGTGATTGTGTCATCTGAGAAGTGCATGAAAAAGCCAGGTTCATGATACCTAGAGGGGAAAAACGCCCACTTAGAGGAGAAAAGTGTTAGATTGAATGACATATAGAAGAAGGGCCAGACATCGTGTGTGAACTCCAGATGGGGACGTTTCCAGAAAGGAGGTAGATTTTGACTCGAGGTGACTGAAAATTTTCTGACAGCAGGAGATGGCCTTCAATGAGAAGGTTGCCATGTGACATTGAGTTCCCACTAATGTAACTGCTCTCCTGGAAGCCAGGAGTCACCTCTCAGGGATGAGAGGAAGAAGACCCTTGAAGGCAGTGGGTTGCCTTGAATTAATGGTTCCTAGGCTTTGGGACATCAAAAACCTGTGAAATGTCAAAAAAAATTGAGGACCATTGTGTGAACCGCTAATCTCGCCATGTAGGGATGAGCCGCATTGTGGAGGGTGCCAGCCTCACTCCTGGGGATGCCTGGGCCAGCCTGTAAGAACCTGAAGGGGCACAGGGTGACAAGGAGGGGTGGTGACAGGCAGAAGATTCTGCACTGTCCTGCAGCTATGGCCATTACCCACCAGGTGACCAGCCCGCCTCTCATGCAGACCTGTTCCTCCCTTGTAAGGCCTCACCCACCCAGAAAGAGCCTTGCTCCCTGGAGGTTTCATGTGACCTTCAGTCCTTAGCTTTTTTATTTTTTATTTATTTATTTATTTTTTGAGACGGAGTCTTACTCTGTCACCCAGGCTGGAATACTGCTGTAGCACAATCATGGGTCACTGCATCCTCAACCTCCCAGGTTCCAGCAATCTTCCTGCCTTAGCCTCCCAAGTAGCTAGGACTGCAGGCAAGTGCCATCACAGTCAGCTACTTTAAAAAAATTTTTTTGCCGGGCGCGGTGGCTCAAGCCTGTAATCCCAGCACTTTGGGAAGCCGAGGCGGGTGGATCACAAGGTCGAGAGATCGAGATCAACCTGGTCAACATGGTGAAACCCCGTCTCTACTAAAAATACAAAAGATTAGCTGGGCATGGTGGCGCATGCCTATAATCCCAGCTACTCAGGAGGCTGAGGCAGGAGAATTGCCTGAACCCAGGAGGCGGAGGTTGCGGTGAGCCGAGATCGCGCCATTGCACTCCAGCCTGGGTAACAAGAGCGAAACTCTGTCTCAAAAAAAAAAAAAAAAAAAAAAAAAAAATTTATAAAGATAAGGTCTCCCTATGTGGCCCAGGGTGGTCTTGAACTCCTGAGCTCAAGTGATTCTCCCAGGCCAGCCTCCGAAAGTGCTGAGATTACAGGCATAAGCCACCACACCCAGCTGGTCCTCAGTTCTTAACATCTATAAGTGCGTACCACTCCCAGAGGACACGGGGCCCAGAAGCCTCACGGCTATCTGTCTTGAATTCAGTTGTCTCTGTCACTGCTGTCTGTCCTGACTGTGCCACCTGCTTTTTGTAGCCTTTAGATCAGCTGTCACAAGCATATTTCATAAAGGGACAGAGAGTATTTTAGGTTTTGGGTACTCTGTGATCTCTTTTGCAAATACTCAGCTCTGCCCTGGTCATGCAGAAGTAGCCTTACTGTAGTAGGAATGGGCTTGGCTGTGTTCCAATAAAGCTTTATTTACAAAAGCAGGCGGTGGGGCTGCATTGGGCCAAAGAGCTACAGTTTGCAAATCTCATTTTATTTACCACGCAGCACTATGTGTGCTCTTACTGCCAATCTGGGTCCACTATTGGTGTCAGTGATATAGTGTGTCAATAATATAGTGGCGTATGCCAAGTAAGGATGTTGCAAAAAGCAAAGAAGAAAAGAAAACCAACTAACACATACCTTTATCCTCAGTTGATGAAAAGAAAAGGCATTTTGACAATAAGAAATAGGATGATTCAAGTGGACTGGCATTCAGGGACCAGGGAATCATGTGGTCAGGACACCCTTCCAACCTTAGAGTTGTCGTTTTGTTTTGTTTTTTTTTTTTTTTTTTTTTTTTTTTTTTTTTTTTTTTTTTTTTTTTTTTAATGCAAGCTGAAGCCAAGCTAGGTCTCCTTTCCACTATTTTTGGACAATTCGTTTTCTGAGTTAAGTCCAGAGCTTTCCATTTTCCTTTATTAAATTTCAGCTCCTTGGTTTGGGATTTTACAGTTTTAATCCTGGCATGAACATTGTGGTTAAGGCCCTGTGCTTCATTTTCCCTGCCGATTTGTGTGAGTCAACAGTTATTGCGTAGATTTTTTTTCTTCTCTTTTTGAGACAGAGTCTCACTCTGTTGCCCAGGGTGGAGTGCAGTGGCAAGATCTCGGCTCACTGCAACCTCCACCTCCCAAGTTCAAGCAATTCTCCTGCCTCAGCCTCCCACGTAGCTGAGATTACAGGCACACGTCACCATGCCTGACTAATTTGTATTTTTAGTAGAGACAGGGTTTTGCTGTGTGGGCCAGGCTGGTCTCAAACCCCTGGCCTCTAGTGATCCACCCATCTCAGCCTCCCAAAGTGATGGGATTTCAGGCTGAGACACTGCCTGGCCTGTGCTGCGATTTCTGATGGCAGTCATCTTACAATGCCAGCCTGAGGACGAAGCCACCAGGACAGCAGGAAGAGAGATACAAGTGACACAGTCCCTGGTGATTCTGTGGTGCTGCCTCATCGAAGAATCCCAAAGCCCATTCTCTGCATCTCCAGTTATGTGAGCCACATGTGCTCATTAAACTAGTTAGAAATGCGTGTTATTTGCAGCACAAAGCCTTCTTTTGAACCTTCATCCCACCACCCATCATGATATTCCTTTTTAGTTTTATGGATTTTACACATTTGATATAAGTAAGCCCCATGTCTTCATATAAGTCGGTGATAAAAGTGTTCCTCTGCAGAGGGAGAGCCCACTCACCATCCGCCCAAGACCATGAGTGCCCTCTCCTTGTCAAGTCGCCTTATTATCTGATCTCTGACCAGATCTGAAGATCTCATGTATGTCCCAATGGGATGACACACCCTGAGAAAGAAGGAAATGCGTCCTCCCCTTGGAGCCTGCCCTCCCTCACACAGAGCAAGGCTGATGCACTATAGAGAGCGGGGTCTTAGAGAAACGCAGACGAGGGTGTGCTCTGCCACCCAGCTCCCTCCCTTCTTCCTGAACGCTGCCACTCTCCCCTGGTGCTTTCTCCCATGACTTCACCCCGCCCTCCAAGGGACAAGCAAGCATATCTCCTCTGGGGAGTTTAGCTAATGGGACCTGCTAAAAGTGCACTTCCCGGGGGGGCCACACACCTTATGGGGAGGCATCAGAAGATACAGGACGGAGCGCTGACGCTTTTGGAGCTAGATTTGGTTTAAATCCGACCTCCACTGCTTTATAAGCATGATCCTCAATCCCTGAGCCCCAGTTTCCTCTTCTGCACAGTGAGAAAAGCAATGAATGTCCAGAGTTATTTTGAGGATTGAATACAATTGTGCATCAAGCAGCTGGCACTCGGTAGACGTTTAAATGCACAACAAATACTTACTGGGCACCTCATAGATGCCAAGCATTGTGATGGGCACTGGGACCTGGAAATGAGCAAGACTGATTTGTCACCATGATTTTGGCCAGACCCAGCCCTGGCCCGTAGCAGGTCCTCCATGAATGTGGAGTGAATGAATGCCTTTGAGGAGCTTGTATTTTAGTGAGAGAGATGGAGGCACGTTGCATACGCTGATCATTTTAATATAACACAGTAGGTAATAGCCAACACTAGCTCTAAGGGAGCCCTACCTGTGGAGAGAGGAAAGGGCTGGCACTGATGGACCCGAGTGGAGTCTCAAAGGATGTATAAGAATCAGTCTGCCAGGCATGGTGGCTCACACATGTAATCCCAGCACTTTGAGAGGCCGAGGCAGGCAGATCACCTGAGGTCAGGAGTTCAAGACCAGCCTGACCAACATGGAGAAACCCTGTCTCTACTAAAAATACAAAAAATTAGCCAGGCATGGTGGCATGTGCCTGTTAATCCCAGCTACTCAGGAGGCTGAGGCAGGAGAATCACTTGAACCTGGGAGGCAGAGGTTGCAGTGAGCCAAGATCGTACCATTGCACTCCAGCCTGGGCAAAAAGAGTGAAACTCTGTCTCGAAAGAAAAAAAAATCAGGAAAAGAGAAGAGGAAAGTGTTCTCCAAGGCAAGGAAGGGGCTCGAACAGGGGCAAAGGCCCAGGTGGGAGGCAGGATGGCAGGGTGTGTGTGAGATTTGAGAGACAGGGCCATCCTGGGAAGTGACAGGGAAGCAGAAGGAGCTGAGCCCAGACAGGGCCCTGATGGCCACCCTCAGAGGATGCCTCTGGAAGTCCCCAGAAAAGGTCAGCTGATTACTGAAGGGAGCATCCTCTCAGCTAGGGCTGCTCTGCGGCCAGGCTCCCTCCTTGCTTATCAGAGCCAGGAGACTCCTTCGAATGCTGTAAACATTTTTTTTTTTTTTTTTTTTTTGAGTCGGAGTTTTGCTCTTGTTACCCAGGCTGGAGTGCAATGGCGGGATCTCGGCTCACCGCAACCTCTGCCTCCTGGGTTCAAGCAATTCTCCTGCCTCAGCCTTCCAAGTAGCTGGGACTACAGGTGCACGCCACCACGCCCAGCTAATTTTTGCATTTTTAGTAGAGACAGGGTTTCACCATGTTGACCATGATGGTGTCGATCTCTTGACCTCGTGATCCAGCCACCTCGGCCTCCCAAAGTGCTGGGATTATAGGCGTGAGCCACGGCGCCGGCTACATTTTTTTTTTTTTTAAGAGACAGCGTCTCACTCTGTCCTCCACTGCCCAGCTTAGAGTACAGCTACGCAATCACTGCTCACTGCATCCTCAAACTCTCAAGCTCAGGCAATCCTCCTGCCTCAGCTTCCTGAGTAGCTAGGACCATAGGCACACACCACCGCACTCAGCTAATTTTTAAACATTATTCGTAGATTCGGGGTCTCACTATGTTACCCTCAGGCAATTCTTCCACCTCATCCTCCCAAAGTACTGGGATTACAGGTGTAAGCCACCACACCCGGCCAAAAGCAAACATCTGATGAGCACTTACTATGAGCAGGCACCCATCTCAGCATGCACATAAATTAACTCATTTAGTTCTCCTGACAAGCCTATGTCAGCACTATTAGCCCCATTTTGCAGATGAAGAAACTGAGGCACATAGTAATTAAATCTTCCCCAGTCCCACTAAGGTCAAGGTCGGAATTCAGATGCACCAGCCTGGCTCTGAGCATTCAGCCACCACGTTAGCTTCTCTTTCAGTTGAGTGAATACAGCACGCCCAGTCTCACGGTGGTACAGGACATTTCCTACCTACCTGTGCCTGGGCCCTCCTGACCATCATCTCTGGGTCAACAGACCAGGGCAGTGAGGCACACCCACTGACACCTGGGCAAGTAGGAGGCAGGGGGACAGGGCAGCGCTTACGTCCTGACCACTGTCCCAGGCCTGTGCCACCGTCTCCTCTCCCAGGGCCTCCTCACCCCACAGGTTCCTGTCCCCGGGTCCATTGGGTGGAGGTTAACAGGCTTACCCGCTTCTCGTTGGAAGAGTCGTTCACATTAACGCCACAGGCCAGATCACGCCTGGGGAAGGTTTCTGACCAGCCATCATGTGTGCAGTTTCGGAACAAGGAACCTGTGGGTGCCAAGCGTCCTGTAAGTGAGCTGTGGGCCGGGCACTGTGATTTTCATAGTCACATCTATTGTAACATGTAGCTTCGACAACCACTTTATAGTGTGAAAACTGAGGCACACAGCAGTTCCAGAACTTGCCCAGGAGTACACCCTAGTGAACAGGGGGAAAGAGATTTGAACCCTGGGGCTCGGGCTCCAGAACCCACGCTCTTAAGCACACACCACTTGCCAATCTCCTTTCTCACCCCAGCTGGGTGCTGCTCCTGACCCCAGGTCCTGCCACTGTTTAACAGGCAGGTTCCCCAGAGACTCTGTGGCGCTTGCCCAGTACATGGCCACTCCCATCGTGATTTTTTCTCAGGCTCCCATTTTTACTCATCCTGCTCCATGGAAGTTCTGTTTTAAATGGAACTTCACACCCTGCTCATGCAGCCATTTGAAAACCACTGGAGACTGGAGTGCAATTTAGATGAACCCCTCCGGGCAGCGCCCCTCATGGAGCGTGGAGTTATTAGACCTTCAGCCATGACCTCTAGACCACCCCTCTGCATTTCTCTGCATAATAATCGTGAGGCCACCACAGTCCTCCCGCTCAGTTGCTCACCGCCCCCTACCCCTGGCACGAGACTGCATGCTGGGCCCTCTTGCCACGTGGGCAGTGGCTTCCCCACCTTCCCAGCACCTGGCCCAGAGTCTTTGCTTATCAAACACAGGCTGGCTGGCTGGACAGAAAGGCGCATTGAATCGGGGTAAAGAGCCTGCTCTGAGCTCTTCTCATAGGGAAGAGGAGAGCACTTGCCCACTGGAGCTTTTACAGCAAGAACCCAGCCTGGGGAGGGGAGCCACTGGCCAGGAAACAAGTCTTGGGAGGCCACGGTGAGGAGCTTCCCTCCTCTGGCTGAATGGCCCCCCTGCATTCTGTTCTCTGAGCTGCCAAGGAGGGCTGGGATCTGGCTCCCTAGCTCTGGAGGGTGTAAGTGTTGCAGGGTGCAAGTCCTGTGAGTGGGAGCCCTGCCACCCCTTTGCTCTCACTGGAGCCCAGCCCAGGGGGGCCTCAACAGCACCAGCTGAGCCTGGCATGCTCCTCTACACAGCCCCAGGGGCTGTGCCCCTGGCTTATAGGGTTTAGATCTAATCCTCACAGTGCCCCACTGAGGGAGTGCTGCTGCCCATTTTACATGCCAGAACATCAAGGCTGAGAGTTGGGCTATGGTGCCGAGCCATAGTGTACGCCATCACTGTTCTGCCCTCCCACCAGGCCCTCTCCCTGAAGTCTCAGGGGCAGTATCTAGGACCAGGAGACCGAGTTCTCTGGCTCTGGGCATGCCTGCCCTGTGAAGGCTCAGGAGGCCTGGAGCGCAGGTTTAGAAGCAGCCAGATCCAAGTTTGAAACCCAGGGCAGCCTCTTGGTCACTGTGTGACCTTCGGTGTATCATTTTTCTGTGCCACAAAATAATCACCCACACTGCAAGAGTGAGCAGGAAACATGAGAGCACACGGAAAATGCCCGTGCTGGTGCCAGGCACAGACTGGGCTCGAGGCATCACTCCCCTCTTTTGGGCCTTTCTAAAATAGGCAGGAGTGGGTGGGGCTTGGAATCTTGGAATTTAGGGAGGTGTGGCAGGTTTCTGGAATTAAATCAAGGGAGTTAGGTTGTCAGGTGGGAAACAACGGTGGTCAGATTTAGGTTGGGTGGATGGGAAGGCGAGTTAAGGGAACAGAGACTCCCCCGAGGCCAGAATCGAAGGCTGTAAGACAGCGCATGCCTACAGGCTGGGCTCCCTGTGGACCCGGCCGAGGGCAGCGGGCCTGCCTGTTTGGGGCCCTCTCCTCACTGACCCAGCGGGACTCCCAAGACAGATGCTGCATGTGACCCAGGCCAGGTGCCGAGAGCTGCTAACAACGCGGGGCCTCCTGCCTTCAAACTGCGGAGCTGCAACGGAGGTGGGCTGGGCTCTCTCTGGAGCCCCTTCAATGCCCGCCCCCCCGCCACTTCCCCAGTGCTGAATTCCTAATAGGTAAGGGAATCTTAACCAGGCACAGGCCAGTGCGCACCTCAGGGGACCCCCAAACGGGTGTCTGTGTGTGTGTGTGTGTGTGTGTGTGTGTGTGTGTAGTTTGTGGGAAGGCCAGTCCAAAGCTTTCATCTGACTTTCAAAAGGCTCCGGGACCCTAATCAGGTAGGAAAGCATGAGCGCTTGAAGGCCAGATCCCCACTAAGTAGGAAGAGAAAGAGGGCCAAGGGGCCGCCGCCGGGAAAATGTGGCTTTTAAAAGGAACTCTGGAAGACCAGCGTCCTTTCCAGAATCAAAGGAATGCACCCCACAGGGAGCATTCTAGGCCTGGCATGAACAGAAACATCTGGGGGCAGAATCGGCCCGTGGTTTCTCCAGCCACGTGGACCCACTCCTGTCAGGACCCGTGTGGTAGGTGCCCTGAAGGAGAATTCATTTATTTTCCAGAGCACCTTGTCCTCACTGGGCGCTCCCTCTGGGCCTAGGGATGGGGGGCACCATCCATGGGAGCCTGCCTTTCTGCGGGGAGATGAAGGGGCAGGGGTGTAATCAGACCCAGAGGCAGATCTATGGGGAGGAAGGTGGGTGGGTTGGAGTTCCTGGTGACAAATTGAGGCCAACTGTTGGCCTGTGCTCTCGGGCCAGCCAGTGACTGCCCCGAGGCTGGGTATGAACAGCGTGGCCCCCAGCGCCCTGGAGCGAGCCCAGAGCCCAGAAGGCAGGGCTTCGGTGTGGACCTGCAGCCCCACAGCGACACCACGTGGCTGCGAGAAGAAACTGCAGCAGAGTCGGCGCAGGACCCCAACTTCCATCTTCACGTTGTGCGGACACAGCAGGGACCCCCTGAGCCTCCCGCGGTGGGCCATGAGCAATCCAAGGGTGGGTGAGCCTCAAGAGGGAGACACTGAGCCTCCACCTAATGAGGCAGGCAGCGGTTCTAGCAAGTAATTGAGAAAGGATGTGACAGGACTGGCACTTGGTCACTTTGTGGACGGGAGTCAGAAAGCGGAGTCTGGGCGGGAGCTCGCGCCTGACCAGCCTGCGGCTCCAGGGCCACCGCATGTGGACTAATCTCCTGTGTCCTGAGCTCCCAGGACCCCAGAGACAGGCATGGAGGGGCCGTGCTGGCAGGTAACATGTGTTGATAAGCTTGCAGGCAGGGGTGTGTGTCGCAGAGGCGGGGGAGGGGAGGGGAGAGGAGAAGAAGGGAAAGAAGGGAGAGGAGGTTAGGGAGAAGGGACAAAATGTATTTCTAAGCACAGCCTTACAGGGCAGCTCTTACTTAATTTCCCCATTTTGCAGTCAAGAAAATTGAGGCTTAGCATCACTGAGCAGCTGGGATCCTGAGGCTGACTGGCACCCAGAAAAATGGCATTTCCCCAGGTCGCTTGCCTTTAGATGTGACTGAGTTCTAGCTGAAGGAATGTGGGCAGAGTGGGATCCGTCCCAGGCCCTCCCCTCTGAACCTCTGCCATGTGGTTCTCCGGGTCCTTCCCCTCCATCAGTCAGCCTGGAAACTGCTGAAGCCACAGCTGTGAGGTGTGCGGTGCTGGAGTCACTGTGTGGAGGAGAGCCACCTGCTAATCAGGAACGCCTGTTTCCTGTTTCGAACTATTTTTTTTTTTTTTTTTTTTTTTGAGACGGAGTTTCGCTCTTGTTACCCAGGCTGGAGTGCAATGGCACAATTTCGGCTAACCGCAACCTCCGCCTCCTGGGCTCAGGCAATTCTCCTGCCTCAGCCTCCTGAGTAGCTGGGATTACAGGCACGTGCCACCATGCCCAGCTAATCTTTTGTATTTTTAGTAGAGATAGGGTTTCACCATGTTGACCAGGATGGTCTCGATCTCTTGACCTCGTGATCCACCCGCCTCGGCCTCCCAAAGTGCTGGGATTACAAGCTTGAGCCACCGCGCCCGGCCTTTTTTTTTTTTTTTTTTTTTTTGAAACAGTCTCACTCTGTCACCCAGGCTGGAGTGCAATGGCACGATCTCAGCTCGCTGCAACCTCTACCTCCCAGGTTCAAGTGATTCTCATGCCTCAGCCTCCTGAGTAACTGGGACTACAGGTGTGCACCACCATGCCTGGCTAATTTTTGTATTTTTAGTAGAGATGGAAGTTTCACCATGTTGGCCAGACTGGTCTCAAACTCCCGACCTCAAGAGATCCGCCCACCTCGGCCTCCCAAAGTGCTGGGATTACAGGCGTGAGCCACCATGCCCGGCCTGTTTTGGGCTTTCTGTGGACAAATTTGCATGAAGGCTTTGAGACGTGGGGCGTTGTCTGTTACAGCAGGTAGCATTACCATGCCAGGGAGTGGAGGAGTGGGGTTCAAGCCTGTCTACCTCAACTCCTCCAGTTCCCATAGTGTAGGATGTCAGGTGAGGCTTCGAGGGAGCAGCACGTTCCCCAAATATATGCGTGAGTGTGCACGCATGTGCATGTGGATGGCAGAATTACGGTGAGAAGAATCTGCACTCCCCTCCACAGCCTCTGACCCGTGGTCATGTCGCCTTGCCTGACTTTGGAAGGCTGGTGCATTTTCGTATTAAATCACCTGTTCTTTGGTTTGTTCTTGTTCAGGCTTCATCAGGCAGCTTTTCCTGTCCTGCCTGGACCAGGAAAGAGGGACAGCCCCACAGCTTTTCCCAGTCCCCGTGATTATTACTCTTTACTGGGTCAAGAGAAAAGGTCTGTGATCTGTGGTGGGTTTATCGTGACTAAATGAGCCCATAAAAATGCCCTGTGCATGGTCGACTTTTCATCAATGTGTGGCAATTAGGAAAATTCTTAAAACTACAGCTGTCCTCTGATAAGAGAACCTCCCTCCCCAGGAGGCTGGGGGCTCCCAGGGAGCCAGTTCATCAGCAGGGCCTGACAGAAGAAGGAAGCATTCTGGAAGGCCAGGCCATTAAGGAGCTGCCAGGAAGGGATCCAGACATGGGGGCTGGAGCAAGGCCCTGGTTACTAAGCGGGTGGAAACACGGAAAGGAGGAAGAGAGCTCCTAACTGAAGGGCATGGGGCAGACGAGCAGGCCAGGCTCCCTTTACCTGCTTCCCCAGTGCACTGCCTCCCGTCCCCTTGCTTGAGACCCTCAGAATTGAGCCCACTCCACATTCCCAAGCGAGGCTTCCGATCCCCTGCAATCTTCTCCCTGAATCATTGTGCCTGTACTTGTCCTCAGAGAAGGTCCCTTGGCCTCCTGCCTCTAAACTGAGGCCCCACCCAGAGGGCCCCCCGCCTCCTCAGCCTCTCCGCCAGGCCCCATGGGCTGAGTGGTTACCATTTCTGTTGGTGAGCATCCGGAGGAATCTCGGGCACCCCACCTCCACGGTCCGGCCCAGCACAGAAGAGGGCCAGCAGCTCATGTTGTCCCACATCCCCTCGCAACCTGGAGAGAAAAGCAGCATCAGACAGGGATGGGGATGGACCAAGGGCTGCCCTACCACCCTGTCCCCATCACCGACACCCTCGCCTGCCTGGAATTCCCGCTAGACTACTTCCCAAGTTCCCATTAGGTGCTGACTCCTTGGGATCAGAAACCAATGCCACCTTTGCCTCTTTGGGCCCTTGATCTCTGCCATCTACATGGTAGTGCTCAGTGCTGAAGATGGAAGGAGGTAAGAAAGGGCGGGAGGCAGGGAAGAAGGACAGAAGGAAGGCGCCCTCTCATATAAGCTTTGCAGGTGAAGGTCTAGATTTCTCTGGAGCAAATGGCACATCTGTTGGCCTCAGTTTGCATTAAACAACTAAGCAGCTGTGGGTCTCCCTCCTAGCTGCGTGGTACAACTACCTGGGGAGCTTTAAAGATAGACACAACCGGCATGGCACGCAGGGATTCTGCATGAATTGGTTTGGGTGGGCCCAGCCATGATGTCCTTTGAGAGCCTTCCAGGTAATTCTAACGCTTGACTGCAGGGTTTGACAACTCCGTGACTCTCGAACTTCAGCTTGCATTAGAATCATCCAGAAGGATTGGTAAATCAGAGATGGCTCAGTGGGTCTGGGGTGGGGCCTGGGTATCTGCATTTCTATCAAGTTCCCAAGTGATGCGGATGCTATTTGTCCTGGGACCACACTCTGAGAGCCACTGCCCTGGCCTAGGGACACAGCTCCACTGTATTTGTGGCAAGAATACTGTCGAGGATGTTGCTTTCTATGCCACTTGAGTTCCCTTGATGAAGCCCCTCTCAGAAGGAGAGCCTGGTCTCAATGCAGTGAGAAGCTGAACTTACTGTGAACAACTAGTATACACACACACTACATTTGAAGCTGGTTTCCTCTTTGATTTGGCTGCAAGGAAGCTCAGAGCCAGATTTGGCTGCAAGTCTTCTGAAAACTGAAAGACTTTAAGATGAATTTAAAAAATTACGAGGTGTTTTCAGTGCAAAACACAGCACTGTCTAAGCATAGCCTTCCGGATTATCTGATTCAATGGAGTGTGTCAGGCTTTTTATTGTCTTTGAGCTGGATTGCAACTCTGTAAGTTCTAGATGATTGGTAGCAATGCGAGTGATTCCCATCTATAGGCACAATAATCATTGTCCAGTTGAAATATGATTAATTTCACTTCCCTCCCTGTGTATTCAGCCAGCTTTGCCTCTATTTGTAAATTCATATTACCATTCTGCCTCATAGGTATGGTGCTGTATCAGTCCATTTCCATGCTGCTAATAAAGACATACTGAGACTGGGTAATTTATAAAGAAAAGAAGTTTAAAGGACTCACAGTTCCACATGGCTGGAGAGGCTTCACAATCACAGGAGAGAGGACTTGTGCAGGAAAACTCCCCTTTATAAAACCTCCAGATCTCATGAGACTTATTCACTATCATGAGAACAGCATGGGAAAAACCTGCCCGCAAGATTCGATTACCTTCCGCCAGGTCCCTCCCATGACACATGGGGATTATGGGAGCTACAATTCAAGATGAGATTTGAGTGGGGAAATAGCCACAAACCATATCAGGTACTTTGAATTCTATGAACCAGTGGTAATATCTTACTGACTCTCTCACAAATTAAACAAGGAGTTCGGCGGGTATTCGTTCTATATTTGTATGTGAGTTGTGACTGTACTGTCTTTTAAGACATCATTTCACATAACCACCTGCCAAATCTCCCAAAGTTGATCCTAGGGCAGAAACCCAGGAAAATTGCTTCCTGCGACAGACTGGAGACACATGCCCTCTGAGAGGTCATTGCTGAGGGAAGGCTTGGAAGGGGCAAGAACTGAGCTGAGGGCATTTGCAGTCAGCCTTCCTCCAGTTTGGGGAACATGGCACAGGGCAGAGCCCACCACCCCCAAAAAGAAAGAGCCAGAACTCAAGTCGGCAGACCCGGGCTCCAGGCCCACCTCACCTTATCAGCTGTCCTGCTAACTTCCTCACTTCCTCATCTCTTCTGGGAGGGCCAGCACCTCCCTCCTGAGGTTGTCCAGAGAAAGGGTTTGACACCCACCTCAAAAACCTGCCCAGAGTAGGCAGCGGACTGGCAGCCCCTTTCCCGCTGGTCTCCCCAGGCCTGTTCCTTTCTCATTTGGACTCAGGAGGTTGGACCAGGCTGGGTCCCCTGAATGGCAATTCTTAGCTCCGGGAACTGAGCGATGGAGGTAGTGTGCAGGGGTCGAGGGAGTACCCAGATGGCAAATGCTCAGCTTTTTTAACGAGCACGAATCTATTTTCAGGCATTAATCTGACCAGACCCAAAGCATCCATAGTGCCCTTGACCCCTTCACCCCCTCTAAATGAAATCTCCCTGGCGACCTGTCCCATGGCAGTAATGTGACCCTCCCACCGACCTCAGAATAAGCTGAGTGTCTCTCAGAGACATGCAGATCCCCAGGACCCAACCGAGATTCTGATTCCTTCCTGGTGAGGCCAGACCCAGGAATCTGCTTTTTAAGCATTCCCCAAAGATGCTGCTGAAGTGGTTCCAGGGCTTGCTTTGAGAATTTCCACTCTGTTCCTCAGCTGAGGGTTCCTCAAAGAGAGTGAGACAGGCAGTCACAGACCCACCAGCGGGGGTCACTGCCAGCTGTGTCTTCACCTCAGTGCCTGGGTGTAGATGCTTCCCCCACAACCAGGCAGAGAGCCCGGGAGAGCCGGCCCCTGTGCCTCCGATGGGTCAGGCATAGCACAGGAGCTCAGCAAACACAGCAGATGAATAAATGAAGGGACGCCAGCTAGAACCACTTCCCCCCACGCCAGTGCCCACCATGCATCCCTGGTAAACGGGCTTTTGCTTCAACACCCACTTGGCTTCTACGCTCCACACCCAGGGCCTGCCAGCTGCGGTGTGGTGCTGATGGGGAGGAGCCCTGTGCATGCCACACGTAATACCATGTAAACCCACGGCAGTGCCCCAGCTCCCGAGGTGCTTGGTTCTACCTCCACTTTTTAAATGCAGCAATTAAGAAGAGCCAGAAGTGGCTTCCCAGGCCACACAGCCAGGAAACAGAGGGTCTGAAAGCTGTCTCCACCCAGTCCTCCACCCACCTGACCTGTCTCCAGCTGCCTAGTGCCCTCCTTGTTCAAGCGAGGATCTGGGAGCCGGAGAGAGGCAGGGGGCTTGGGGAGGGAACGGTGGGCCAGGCCACGGGGGCCTGGGTCGGGTAGGATGCTGGACTGGAGTGAGGAAGCCCCGACAGGTGTGGCCTGTTTCTCCCTGAAGAGAGGTCCAACCCCTAGTGGGAGAGGGGAAGTGGGAGGACCCAGAGAGGAGCCCAGGCTTGAAATCAGGATGCCTGTGGGGGCTTTGGAGGTGGGACAGTCCCAGGAACCACAAGGGCAGGCTGTGGCCATGAGCAAGGGTGGCAGGGAATTGGAGAGGGACACAGAAGGCCGTGTTTGGGCAGGGCTTTTACAGGACAGTGGAAGCATCTATGAGGACAAGGGACAAGGCTCTGTGTCCCAGGAGCATGTGGGAGATGAGGAACCCCCATATGCAGAAGCTTTACCTGCAAGAGAAGGAGCCGGAGCTTCTCTCTGCTGTGCGCTCCCCAGGGAGGGCTCCCCACTATCCCGAGACTGTCTGTCCACATTCCGGCTGTGGACGTGCTCACTGGACCTGAGCAGGGTCTCCTGGGCCTCCCCAGATGCCTGTGGGGTGGGGACTTGGTCCTGAGGACCCTCTACAGACAGCCCACTGTGTGTCTCCATGCTGACCTAGCCTGGCATCTGGAGTCTCAGGAGGCCAAGGCTGACCCGGGGCGCCTTTCCCTATGTGGCCATCTCGGGGTGGCAGCCAAACGCCTCGTTTCAAGTTGCAGCTCCCCTGCCAGCTCAGGACAGCCTCTCTTGCCTTGGAAGCAGCCGGGCATTTCCAGAGCATGGAAAAAGGCAGGAGCCTCTTGGCTCACTTGGAGAGAAACAGATTCAGGGCTGGTTGGACTGACCAGGTCAGCCAGGGCACCAGCCACAGATTCTGGGCCATGAGGCTGGACAACGCTGGCTAGCTGGCCAGACAGATGTGGATGGTGCCAGCACGTCTGAGAGCCTTCCTAACTTGGGTCATGTCAGGCAGGGCCCCAGGGACATCTGGGGACAGGCCATGCCTGGCCTGTGCTGGATGCACATCAGACATCCTGGAGCTGAGGCTCAGAGCAGCCCAAGAGTAAGTAGAGTCACTGGCCCACGGCAGAGATGAGTAAGTAGAGTCACTGCCCCACGGCAGAGATGAGGAAGCTGAGGCTCCAGGAGCGGGGAGTGACAAGTGTGGATGACAGAGCTGGTGATAATGGGGCTGGGATCCCACCCAGCCTTCCCATGCCCCAGCCTGGGACAGGCTGCCTCCTCCAGGCTGGCCTCGGTGGCAGCAGACCTGGCTGCTAGCCCCACACAGTGTTCCTCGTTTCCTGAGCACCAGTGACACTTCCTCGTTCTCTCCCAGCCTTGGCTCCACCGTCTGGGCACAGAAGGCACAGAACAGACCCGCGGTTTCCCAGCGTGCGATGAGCTCACCACTCACTGGGGACCTGTGCTTTTGGCTGGTACATGGTTGAACATTTTTTAATAGTTACACCTTTTTTTAAAGAAAATGTAACATGTAATAGAAACATTATGAAACTAGCATATCACATCTGTGATTTTATAGCTACTATTGTTTAGGATGAGGCTAAGTCCATTGATTTTAAGGAAAAAATATGAAGGGGATCACAGTACAGGAGGCACGTGGCTAGGGCCAGGCTGGAGGGAATGTGGCTGGGGGAGCGGGACAGTTTCTGTGGCCTCCTTGGTGCTTGTGGAGGCTGTCCTGCACTGCCCCCAGGCTGTGAATGCAGCATCTCAGACCCCACTCCTGGACTCCCCAGGCCCCCAAGCCAAGCAGGAGGGGGAGGTAGGGAAGAGCGCTCCTGGCTTAGCGTCAGATACCTGTCCTGGCACTGGCCTT